GGGCAATCATCATACATTCATGATAACCTATACAAGGGTTACTTGAAAATGCATTATATAAAAAAAAACCTCATACATTTTTATAAAAAGATAAACTAAGAAAATATATATAGCTGACAAAAACCTAAATTCAAATGTTTTTTTTTTTTTTGTTAACATATATTATATAATGCTAATTTAAATTAATTTGTAAATATATTTTAAGTTGATCAAGTGGATCAAAAAGAATTCGAGTCTGGCTAGGCTGAACTCTAGCTCGAGTTCATTAACTTACGAGCTCGAGTATCGGCTCAAGTTCGAACTTGTGCCTCGATAAGCTTAACTCATGAGCTCGTTAAAGAATCGAACTTGGGCCTGCTCGTTAGCCGACTCGGCTCACTTACACCCCTATAAAGAGAACCAAAAAGAATTTGACGCTGGTGATACCGAACATGCACGTATGTTCATGCTCTTTGTTTTCATGTGAAGTAGCACCGTCATGTAACCACGTCTCATTGATACAGATTTTTCATGTCATACTTTATTGCGCAATGATGTACAGCATAATTTTTTTTTCTCGGCGAGATCCCATTGACTATCATCCTTTATCAATTGCAAGTTCTGTGCGAATGAAGCAGAAATAAATTAATGATGAACAGTCTTAGAAGAATTTATGCTTTTGCTTCCACGTTCTTCTGGAACAAACATGCTAAGTTCTCCATTATTCTTTCATTATTCAGCCACCTGAATGCTGGATATTTTATCTTCCTAGCCTTTATTCTTGATTATGAAGTGGATGAGCTTCCATTTCAAAATACAAAGTGAAGTTAGCCATTTGTTTGAGCATCATGGAATAATGTGAAAAGTTGAAGTTTCCTTTGGAAAAGGGAAAAAGATTAGGTGAAGAATAAAATTTGTTTATATTTACTTTTAGATAAGTTTAATATAATAGTCGGTTTATTGTTCATAAATTAACTTCCTGTAAAAGAATAAGGAGTATTCTAGGGGCTATGTATCAGTTCCGGGCGATAAGCAAGTAGAAATATACGCCAACTAGGTGAGGACGACCAATGAACTCACAGAGATCCTTTTTCCTAGGGATCCAAGATGAGGGAACTCTAGGACTCCAACTATCGTCCATGCACGATCTATATTAGATATAACCAATTGCCCATCCAACCTCCTCTATGTTCTTGACAGACTATCTCAAAATCTTAGAAGCTATAAGCATTTATAGGGCTTGGAAATAGGAGATAACTTCAAATAGTACTTCAGGCAACTTGATTCATGAAAGATGTATTTATCTCAAAGTAAATTTATTAATTTGTAAATACATTATCACCAAAATTTATATCAAAATATGTTGATCTAATTTTCTCTTCGAAAAATCCCTCATTGTCAAAAGACAATACATTGATGATATCTTAGTAGGTTATTATGTCAGTGGATTCCATCAAAAGAGTTTTTTTTAGAAGGGGTTGGATTTAATGTGTTCCTTCCTAAAAATCAAATAATCTTTGAATCACCAATAAACTTTGATTTGATTTTTATTAGAAAGTTGATTTGACAATTAATGCGTCTCCTCATTCCCATGGTAGCTTCATCAAGTAGAAAAATCTTTACGACAAGCTTGTCATTGATTTCTATTTTCTATAACTATAACTCTCCTCCTCTTCTTCCATCAATTGGAAAATCAAGTGACATCTTTTACAATAGTCTTTTGGGCTTGCTCAAATAATAGCTAGCTTTCTTCACTTTTGAGAAGGAGAATTGGTTAGATGGTGACCCCCTTATATGTTTTCCCTAATCTATGTAACTTGGCTTGAAAACAAAGTTGTATTATCAACTCTTAGCTCAGTTTGTTGGAACATTCAAGTCTATCATCATTTCTATTGCAATATATGCATTGATAAACAACTTGATTTTCATTGCCCCATTAGTTAATCTTTTCATTGTTCACTCGATCTTATTTCTAATAGGGAGAGCATTTTCATTACATTTCATTTAGAATAAAAGAGTTCTTACAAAAATATACTTGCTAAGTTGGTATATGACCAAATGATAGAATTTAGGCTTCGTTTGGGGCAGTTCTCTTACTGCTTCTTAAAACAGTTCTTTAGTACAAAACTTTAAAATTTTGTGTTAGAAAACTACTTTAAGAAGTAGTAAGAAAGCCGTACCAAAAGTAACCTTAATGTCATTGCATCTTGCACTCCATTAATTCCTCTACTAACAACCCGTGGCATTTATGAGAATGATGTTGAAAATGTTAATCATGCAACATTGATGGAAACATGCAACATTTTATTTTTTCCATCAATGTTGCATCATTGGCAACCACCATCGATGCGTCATTGATTATATATATAATCCTCATCCAAAAAAATTTCTTTTGATCTAATTTGATGAAATGTTAATAAGGGGGTCTCCACAACTGCTTAATCTTGACATAGAAATAAACAAAAGTTATGCTCGTGAAGGAGGAAATTTAAAAGGCTAATTGTAGAGCTAACTTTTAATCTTTAGAAATTTGATGGCCCGTTAATATTTTTCTTGACATAAGTTTGCGTCGATGCTAACAAAATCAGTGATGGGGTAAAATTGATATTGAATCAGTGCATCTCTCTATTGTCTCCATTTGCATTTCTATTATTCAATAATCTTCAATATAATGAAGTATGACAAACTCTATGGCTTCCTTTGGAACATCTTTTGGCTATTATTTTTTGGCTGCTTTCAAAAAATTTTATACAAAAAAATTGTTATAAAAAATAATAAAAAATTACCCCAAATAAGATATAAATATCATATCTTACTTTGAATTAAAACAAGAAACTAATTATTGAAATAATTTATTTGGAATGGATATAGTATTTTATAAAGTTGATTATAAAATTACTATAGAAAAATAACTTATTGTAAAAAATAACTTTTCATTACAATTTATTTGAAAAATAATAAGAATATAACAATAAAAAACAGTATCTAAATAAAAAAATTATTATTTGCTGAAAAATAAAACAGCCAGCAAGCAGTCCAAAAAATCCTTGGGCTCAGTGGCCATCTTGTGTATTCAAGCTTGGAGCCGAGACCTTCGGATGAATGTGCGCTCTCTGTAGTCTCGACTGGATATTAATACTTTAGTATTAGAATATCTTATCCATAAGTATATTTATTATCTTGTCAGTTTTTTTTTTGGAAAAATATATTGTCAGATTTATATTTAGCGCATCTGAAAACTTTAAAACACTTGACTCGACACGTCCAATAATTTTTTTTTTTTAATTTGTTGACAGCAAATTCTCATAGAGCCATATATTCAGAGGATTTCATAAATTGCCACTTGATAGATTCGCATGTCGGGATTTCCCTCTTGCGATTTCTTTGTTTGAAATATTTACATTATTAAGGGAATCTAATTCGAATGTTTGATGAAGTATTCTGATTTTTAAGAGACAGAAATATCCAACCTTTTCTCTTTAAAACTCTATGGATAAGGCTTGTTTTTACACATTTAGAAGAAATTCAATGAAAATAATTTTCAAACTTAAAAAATTCTAGAACTCTAGCCGTTCGTACGAAATGTTGGCTTTCAGCTAATGCCAACACTAGTCATCGATTGAGACCAATGTCAATGCCCATCATCTACTAATACTGATATCAAACATTATAAATGATTAAATTCGGCTTATTATTTCCTATGTTTGACACTAATCTTCCTCACAACCTGGTCTCCCCTTCTATTAGGAGAGTTTTTGCGTTAAAACAAACAAAGTCCTCTAACATTCCTTATAAACTATTTCCCACCATAAACCAAGGATAGATGTTGGATGGGATATGAGAACATTGACCAACATGAAAATCCTGCTTTCATGATTAATGGGTTATAAGAACATTGATCAAGTTAACTACTAATCGTTCCTTGTGTCTTAGATTCTAATCAATCATTTTATGCATGTCAAAGTCTTACATATGTTAACTACTAATGCTTGGCATGCACCTTCATGATTGTCAATTCTTCTCTTATAAGAAAAATGACAGAGACAACTGCCCAATTTTGCTTGATAATAACTCTAACATTCAAAAACATTTACTTCCACTATGAAATAGTCTTTCAGAATTTATGTATGCTATATTGTATCATTATCTTATCTAACTATAAAGAACATTTATTTTATAATATATAGCTCGCACTAATTAAATGTATTTTAGACATCCTGAAAAAGCTGACGATAAGTAGCTTCTCTAAGTTGATGATGTTTGTGTTATTCTCTATCTTCCAATGAGTTGATCTCTTACACTTCATAAAGCGGTAAAATTAGCGTCTCATACGTCTACAGTGTTATAAAAGGTTGCAATTGAGAGTAAAATATGATGTAATTCAATTCATTTGATTTGAATTTTGAAATAGTAAATGCTCAATGAATTTATCAAATGGGTTAGATTTGAAATTCTAATGAAGAGTTTGAGTTTATTATTTTTAAAGTTAAAATAAATATAGATTTACAAGATATTTTATTATAATAAGTATAAGTGTTGAATATCATTTTAATATTTTTTGTAAATTTTTTAAAAATTTAGGATCATATGTTTTAAATAAAATTGGATAAGTATATCTTAATTAAATTTTTGATAAAAATCTTTTGCTTTATTTTGAAAAAATTATAATACATTCAGATTTATATTAATATCATATTAAAAAAATGGTATTGCTAGGTATTTGCTCGGTATTGCTAGGTATTTGCTCGGTATTGCTAGGTATTTGCTCGGTATTGCTAGGTATTTGCTCGGTATTGCTAGAAAAAACTAGGTACAACTCGGTATTTGCTAGATATTTGAAATATATCCAAAAAGTGATGGGATGTTGTTCGGTTTGTAAAGGAATTAAAAAAATGCAAGTACGAGAACCCAAAAAACGGCGGGGCGGGTCGGCGACTTTTCTTAATGCTACGTGTCGCTAAAATATTGGTGGCCGAACGTAGAGGAGCGTACGTTCACCGAACCAAATAATTGTTCCTCCAAAAGCCCCCTCCGCATTCACCCTCCCATCGCCCACTCTTCTCCTGTAATGGCTGGCGGCGTCCCGCACTTCGATCCGCCCATGCTCCGCGCCGGCTCTTATCTCGGAGAGATCTCAGCACTGTCCTTCCTCCCTCTCCCTTCTCATCTCTCTTCCCACCCTCTTCTTATCGCCGGTAATATATATCTTTCTCTTTAGGCCCATCTCACTCACCCATAGGCCATCAATTCGTTATTATTTCCTTTGCACGCAGGAACCGGATCTGAGCTCCTTCTTTACAACCTCGAGACTGGGACTCTCCTACGCTCCTTCCACGTCTTCGACGGGGTTCGCGTCCACGGTGTATCTGTTCGATTTTCCCCCGATCCTTTAATAGCGGTCTTTGGGGAAAAGAAAGTCAAGCTTTTTATCCTTCGTGTGGAAGCTAATCCGTTGCAGGTGAACATTGAGTTTGTGAGCCAGTTGCCTCGCTTTGAACATTGGGTTCTGGACGTCAAGTTCTTGAACGATGACGGTTATCTTGCCCTGGGTTTTAGTGACAACTCATTGGCTTTCTGGGATGTTGATAATTCGACTTTGGTCGGGTGTTTAAAATCTGCAGGTTGGTTAGTGCATGGGGTTTCCGAATGTAAGTTCTGGACTTATTTTGTTAGTTTCGTTTGAAGATGAGTTGATTGATACTTACAGAGAGGTGCCTCTTGTACTCTATGCGAATATGGGGTGAGGGCTTGGAAACGTTACGATTGGCCTCTGGGACTATCTACAATGAGGTTGGTTTGAATCTTCTGATTCTCTCGTAATTGGCCATTTTGATTTAAGCACTGCATTTCACACCCATAAAGTCTACAAGTTTTCAATTTATTTATCATGTGGCATCTTAGATACAAGCGGATGTGGTCATCCAATGTCAACTTTTTGTGATATATAACTTAGGGATGATGATGAAAATATATAAACTTGAGTGAATGGAATCTCTTTTGATTTGATTGCAACAAGACAGGTTCCTTCGGCTCTCTTTTGCATTTTTAGTGATATTCTATGGCGTTGTTTGACTTTCTGGTCTACTTCTGAAACTTGTTCTGTACATTGACGCAAGGTCATGAGTGGCACCTGAGCAAGACAAGGCTGTCAAAAGATAACATTTCACATATAATGTCCGGAACCTTACATACTGTTTTAATTTGCTTGATCCCTTGCTTATGTGACGTTAATAACTACATTTAGTGATCGATACAGATTAGATCAGCAAGAGTCGTTCTTTCAACCTTATAGTTAGATAGTAAATTATGGGTCTGTTTTTTGTTATAAAATAGAGGCAAAGTAACCACGCCCACAAAAACCTGTTCTACATTCTTTCTATTTTAGGGGCTGTTTGGTATCATTCTGGATTTGATTTAAGTAGGATTTCGTAAATCCTCTAAATCCGGATTTTTGAAATCCTGAGAGGCTTAAATCCTGAAAACTGTTTGGTAACATTCATGATAAATCCTCTTAAATCTCATATGACTGTTTGGCTACAGCACAGGATTTACTGAGTGGATTCTTCCTCTACCATCATGGATTTCGTAAATCCTGCAAAATACAGGATTACGGAAATCCCCGATTTAGAGCGAATCGGCGGATTTTTCCTTCTAGGGAGGATTTCCTTTGCCGTGAGATTTGGTTTTGCTTTTTAGGCATTTTGGCTGTATTTCGCTCAAATCCGCCTCAAATCCAGCCTAAATCCTGCTACCAAACAGCCCCTTAATGTGAAGTTGTTGCATGTATTTTAGAAAATGCAAACTGTCAGCTGGTCTACTTCTTAAAGCCAAATATCTAGTTCAATAGTGAATTTTTTACACAAAAGTATTTCCTAAAATCAAGCAACTCCTTTGTGAACCTAACTCTTCTTCTTTACAAGCAATTCGTCCTTATTATCAATAACTATATCTCAACTATTTGTGTTCAACTTTTTGAATAATTTTTCTTTATTTATTGATTTTATTCTTGTTACACACGAGATGTTATTTGTAGTTTGCACAAGTTCCTTAGCAGACATTCTAACCATGTTACTTTTATTCCAATCATTTCCCTCCCTATTCCTTTCGTGCTAATTCTATCTACCTATTTCATTAGTGAATTTTCTACCTTATATTGTATATGCTCAAAACATTTAAATTTATTTTCCATAACGTTATCTACAAGAGATGCCCAACTTTATCTCTAATATAATCATTTCCCTATATTTTTTGTAATTTTATCACACATTCATTTTACCATTGTTATTTATGCAACACTCAACTTGGAAATCATATACTACCATGGTCTATAAACTTATTTCACATAATAATCAGCCTACTATGGTACATAAATTTATTTCGCTTACATATGATCTTGTAGCACAATTGCAATCTAATGTCATTTCCACTTCTACTAATGTTGTTAAATGTATTTAATATCAAAATTGTGTAATACAATACATGATTTTGACATATAACTAGAGTTTCTATTTGCCATAAAAATATAAAATTGGAAGCACAATTATACTGGTTATCTCATGAACATCACTGGGATTTCATCTTGAGTACAATCAACAACATGAATTGATGTGAAAGTGATGCTAAGTCAATAGGTATAAGTGCCATATATATATCGTACATAAGAAATTGGATATTGATGATAATTGAGGCCCTTGTGGGCCTTAATTTTGGGTGTGTTTTGGTTGGGTTTATGAAGGGAACCAGCCCCATAATTCCAGAGAATCATATTCCTGAAATTATTCTCAGTAGTTAAACTTCATCCAGGACAATCATATTCCTGGAATTTCATTTAACTTGTGGATAATGCATTTGTTCCCCTATATTCCATTATCCCCCTTCTTGAGTTGGTTTTTCACTTAAAAGATAGCTTACACAAAAACTTAGGGGATATAACGAAGTTGTGCTTACTTCTATTTAGCATGACTGCATAACTGTACAAATAAGTTTAAACATAAAAGCTCTTTCTATTGGGACAGCTAATTTTTTGTTTTTATGTCAAGTAGCTTTATGTTATATTTTCCTAGCCATTATCATTTTGCCACAAACCATATGGTATATATACCTGACATGTTAAGTGATTCCTTATTCTCATACTTATGGTTTGGAAAAATATTAGTTGTGAATTTATGGGTGGAAAGTAAAAAAATAAAAAAATCCAAGTAGATACAAGGAATTCCATGTATGATGGCTAATATTTGTTTTGTAATGAGTCTAAAAATATTTGACTCACACATTTGTTATTGGTCCTATTTAGCAGTTTTGCTAGGCTAACTGTGTAGAAGTACTTATTCCTTCATAAAAAAGCAAAGGGTAACTAGTTTCTGCTTATTCAGACGGAGAAAGAAGAAAATAAGTCTAATCAATCGAGGCCTAACTGTGTAGAAGTACTTATTCCTTCATAAAAAAGCAAAGTTCAAACTCACACGCAGACATTATATCAGTTCACTGGGTCATCTTTCATAATGTTAATCATCTTATCTTTTACAAAAAAACAATCTTTTCAACATGGTTGAATGAATTAATCTTTTTTTTTTAATTTTATTTGTTTTGCTAGCCTGACTTGCTTGTGGTGAGTGCACATATTTTTATGTGGAGGCTTTCATGCTGCCTGTAAACTACATGGCCATCTGCATGTATTCTTTTGCAATGCAGCTGGAGTAGGGCTTATGTGCTTTAAATTTCCTGATAGATTGATTAAAAAATTGTGAGATATTTGCAAGTACGTGTAAAAAAGGATGTGCGCTTGGTGTGTTTTCAAGCGAGCAGTCCGTGTTTTTCCTTGCTCTATGGCTGTATGGCATATGCGTAGTGGCATGCAAATGAGTTGTTGGCATGTGGCTGGTGGTGGTTTGCCTCTAGTGCTTCTATTTACTATGGTTAGAATTTTCATGTGAAGATGGAGATGTCTAGTTTGAGCATGACCCCGTTCAAAATATATGAAAACCTTTCTTTTTTCAGTAATTTCTTAAGCACCCAAGTTGGCATGATACTCATATTGATGCATGGTTCAATGTAATGGTTTTTTATGGGTAATGTCATGGGCCATCAGGCTAATTAGTTTGATTGTGATCCTGGGTCCTATTTAATGGCCATTCTTATCGGGATATGACTTTCATCGAAGTTTTAGTTTTATTGTTGAAGATAAACTCAAATCTTTTTAAGGCCTCATTCTCTAGAAACTTTGACATTTAGGCTCAATTAAGGCAGACTCATACACACATCGCATACACAAGACTCAAAACTTAAGACCTCTTAATTTATAGCTTAAGCTCTCAACTAACAGATCAAGATGAGCTGTGTACTTGAACATATGTTAATAGGTTAAAATCAGCCCAAATATAGATTTTCTTTATAGATGTTTGTGAAAGTCTTATAGCCGACTAGTATGAGATGGGAATTTTGTGCTCTTGTTCTTCCGTGTTGGCTACATCATTGTGTTTCAGGGTTTCTTTGCTTGATTCAACCTCCTGCAATTTATTAATTTTGTTATCCGTGTTGGAAATCATGCATTCTATTATCTTTTATTGATAGTAGGTTAGGGGGATTGCATTGCATATTTAGCACAAATAACCTTATAAGGGTGTTTGTAGCCTGATGTGCTAATGTTGGATGGTTGAGTTCCTATGTTATATGTCTCATTGAATGTCTTTGTTTTAGACTTACAAATATAATCTTGAAAGGGACATACAATTATACGCTATTAGCAAGCAACGAGTGTTATTACTCATTTTGGATCATTACTACTTTATTTCATGCATTTACAAACTTGTAAGTTATATCGCACATGCAATAGCATAGTGGCATTGACGTTGACTGACATATGATTCTTTTCTTTTGTGTTACTTATGGACATGAATTTAATGTCTTTATGCTCATAGCAGAAAGTGCAGACCTTTAATTGGCTGCAATATCTGCTATCTTTTTTCCCTCCAGCCTTTTTCAAGACGTATTATAATCATATTCATTTTGTAATCTATATCCAGAACCGCTTCATGTATAGTAGGGGTTTATTTCCTTCAAGCAAATAAAAATATAAAATCACTTTTATCTCACATGTAATTTTGTATGACGCTTTCACAGGTTATTGTTTGGAGGCCTAGTTGTCATGACCTGCATGCATCCGTAGAGTCTTTGGAGCCCATCACTGAATGCACAATTCATGATAAGGCTACTCAAAATGGATATCAACAATTTTTGCCTATCTATTTGAGCAGACTCACTGGCCATGAGGGTTCAATATCTCGTATTTCATGGTCTATTGATGGATCCAAATTGGTGTCTGTTTCTGACGATCGAAGGTTTTCTCTTTGTTTTATGGAACTTTTTCACTGATATTTATTCCATTTCTCTTTCAATTAGCAAGCATAAAGACTTTGGATGATATTTACTATGTTGTGATGTTATGTTAGGACAGTGCTCGCATCTGGATGCCCAACAACAATGGTCTAAACTATCATGGTTTTGAGGACAATCTCAGGAGTAATGCCTCAAATAATATTGCGCTTTTTGGACACACTGCTAGAATTTGGGACTGCCATATATCCGATTTTGTAAGGTTTAATAATTAAATTGTAGGGAATTTACATATATACAGCATAATTTTTATGTATTTATACTTCTAATGCCTAAACTTAGGTATTTTTTTATATAACACTTAAGTTTCTCAATCATATAAAAAAATATGCATGAAAATGTATGTTTCACATGCGATATACCAACATAAATGTGGTATATTAGGCACTTACAATATATTTTTCTATTTAATGTTTCCAATTTATTAGTTTCTATATATATTCTAGTAATTTGTTTTTAGATTTGTCATGCATGTTCAATGCTGCACAAAGTTTTGCACACACATAGATAATTAGCCTTTAACACACATGAGATTCAATGTTTTACTTGAAAAATCCAAAAGAGGAAAGAACTATATGGTCCAACTCAATTTAACAACTCCATTATGTTAGTTAAAGGTTTCATTGATCCATCCTTTTCTGTTGTCAAAGGTGATAGGATTAGAATGGCCTAAATTATAAGATGTCATCTCTTGTGATGATGGTGCAAAATGCTAAAAAGCAGTGGCATTGATAGATTAATGCCAAACGGCGATGAATATCTACGTCAAGGTTGAACAACATTTCTTCTCTATCGACGAAGATTGATAGCAGGTGGGTGCCAACGATCATTTGTATTAGTCGATAATGGCTGTCAAAGAATGGTTAACAACAGTTGTTGGTGTCAGTCTATGACGGGCAATGATAATTTTTGGCGGAGATTAATGACGACGGCATTGAAAGTCAGGCATTGGAAAGTGTTAGGTGCTATTGTTGTACTAGTTGGTTGGGAGACATGGCAACCAAGACAACTGTAGAAGTTTGGATAGAAGAAATCCCAAAGACGACTGGTTTTTTTTCCAAATGTCAATCAAATATCGAGAATTCTCTGAATATGAGCATTCTTAGATGTGTAGGAGCATGACTTATAGCTTTCTAAAGGGACATGATAATATTTGTTTTGCGAAAATTCATACAGTACTTCGATCGATCTGATTAGGATCATGTTATATTTTTAGGGTATTTTAGTTCCTTCATAAATTCATAATTGAACGATTTTGGACTTGTCGGATTAGTTTCCTAAGATGCTTGTTTTGACCAATAAACATAAAATTTGGAGGATGCTTGACTTCTAGAAGTTTACAATTATACTCGTGTGTTCTTGAGTTGATTTAGGTATGTTTGTACTCAGATCTTGACTTTTATGGCATCATTATGCTTGTCTTGACAAACTGTGCAATGCACAGTCTCGATTATTTATTTATTTTTTAAATGGAGTTTGTATGATCTTAGAATCAACTTTTGAAGTTTCTAGTCGAGATATTTGGATGCCTTGTGATTTGCAATTCACATAAAAAATTAAGCTTGATTAGATGAATTCGTTAGCGATTTATCAATTTCTCTAATTTTTTATGTCAAAATTTGTGAGTTTGAAATACTATTTGGCCACAAAAAATTTTGGGCTTAAATTTATAGCTTTGGAGATATTTATAGGCGTGACTACTCTTTGAAATTCAATGTAGACCTCCCATTAAGATCTAAAGCAGTTATTTTAATTTCATCGTAATTTGATCCTTTAACAAAGTTTGCATATTTTTTGGTGCTAAAATTATTGAATTTTATTATTATGAAAATCTTCCAAATTAGCTCAAAATTGCATATAGAGGCTCTGTATGGAATTGATAGTGCAATAATTGAGATAAAAACATTGAAAAATGGTTTCAAACTCTCAAAAACATTACGAAATGCCTATTCGTACTTGAAAATAGGCTTGAACAATTGCAGGTGGGTTCAGGAAGTCAGCTAGTGGCGATTGTGGTGCATTACGCATATGAATCTGGGCTGTGTATATTACCTTTTATTTTTTTTTTGAAATTTTTTTACTTATCTTTCATTTTACTACAAATTGAATATCATAAATGCACGCTTACACAAAATCTTGAAAAATAGCCAAATCAAGTTCATAAAAGATGCTACAAAATCCCCTCCCCCACTTCTTCTAAATCTTAGGAATACCACTTATGTTTCATTCAATGATGGTCATTGGAGGATGGGGGATGATGAATGGGTGATGAATGTCATTGGCGGAGGTCAACAACAATGTTGGATGTTAGGTGTTGGAAGGTGGTTGAAGCTTTGAAATTCTCTATGTTTGAGAATTTATAATGTTGGAAGATGCGGTTGTTCTCCCGCTCGAATGGAAAATTGAGTGACCTTGAACAAAGGAGAAGTTTTAAGAAGCAAAATCCAAAGATGACTGGTTGGGATTTTAAATGAGAGTTTGTGCTTTGTAATTCTCTCTACTATAAGTTTTTAAATGTGCAAGAACATGACTTATTTATAGACTTCTAGAAGGAGCATTCTAATCATTTTCGTAAAAAATGGGCACTATTGGGCGATGTGAGTAGATCCACTTTGGTTGTGATATATTTTTTGACCATTTTGGCGCCTCAATGAATTCAGAGTTATAATAATTTTGAACTTGACATATTCGTATTTTGAGACACTCGTTTCGACTATATGCATGCCAAATTTGGAGGACGTTTGAGACTCGATAAATTTCTAATTATACTTATGCATGCTTGATTTTGGCCTATTTCGACTTAAGGTCCATATGCTCCTAGCATCATTGGGCTTGTCTTGTCGAATTGTAATGTCTCAACTGTGTTTGCTGAAATTGAAATTTGAAATCAATTCTCTAAGTTTCTTGTCCAAATATTCTGGGGTTTTAAAGTTTGAAATTTACATTATCAGGCAATTTTTTTTGGTGATGTAACAGCATCCATGTTTGAGTGCAAGATTAAGTTTTTCATTCTTGCTTGCATGGGTGCAATACAAAAGATGGATTTGTGCATCATAATTGATGTAAATACTTGTAAATGTGTATTCTGAATATGCATGCTTATTTATGTGTAAAATTTCGTGCTCATTATCTTCATCCTGATATGTTCTCTCTTTTCGAGATATGTAATATCTCCTTATTCACACATCATACTACCCTTATATACTTTATAATAACTTTATATGTTTACGAATTTTTCCTTCCTATATCATAAGCTGCAGCATTTTAGGTCAGCAAACCTCAACTGTACATTCTTTTCTAATACACCCATTAAAGCCATCATCTTACCTTTTTACTGGGGTTTTCATTTGTATTTATCAATTTGGGCTCATAGGTGCTTTTCTAGTTAATAAATTATTTTTATTTTGTTGTAATTGTATTTTTGACATCTCCTTAAACTTGATATTGAATACGGTTTGTAGTTAATTATCACAGTTGGTGAGGACTGTACCTGTCGGGTGTGGGATTTGGATGGTAACCTGCTTTTGATGTTCAAAGAACACATGTAAGTTAATTATATGTGTTACGGCTCCAACGGTGAAAGTTTTTCCTCCGGGTATTGCTTCTGAAACCATTAGTATGTTTTTACTGTTCAGTGGAAGAGGCATATGGCGATGTTTATATGATCAAAGCTCATCCCTTCTTGTCACGGCTGGATTTGATTCGGCCATTAAAGTGCGTCGGGTGTGCTCTCCTGTAAGTAGAGAACCAACGAAAGAAGATAAATTGCTGAATGATGTGAAGAATGCAAGAGAGATATTTACCATTGCTGCTCCTCAAGTAACAAGACAGCAAGGTCTGATCGACAGGTCGCCTCTCTTTCTCTCTCTCTCTATATATATATATATATATGTGAGCTTGAACTATTTTCTATTCATTATATAAGATCTTTTTTTTTTTTTGACACTTATTTGAACCATAAAGACTTAATTGGTGTTTCCTTGTTTTCTCGAAACTATAAAAATTGATGGATATCCCAGATGTAGGTTTTTGAAAGATTTGCATTAACTGAAATGCCCTGAAAGTGTTATATCATAAAATTTAATTGGCACTGAAACCCCATCGCATCTTAATTATATTGCCTACACTTTTTTTTTACTATATTCTCATCAAATATTTGATCTCATCAGATATTTGATTCCTCGTGTGATACCTGGTACCCATTCGTACGTTTTTTGTTATTAAATACGATATAAGAGGATTATATTATCTTTGTTGCAGTATCTGGCAAGCAGAAGTTTTATTTTTATAATTTTTCTGTGCCCTACTCTTCTGTTGTTCACCGACCATTTATATTATTATTATCACTATTTTTGACATTACAATCAAACAATCAGAACACACACACACATACACGGTGGAAAATGGTTTTCAACTTCATATTACTTTCTATAAATTTCTTTTTTATACTTTCTTTTGATATTACGGGAAAGTGCCATGCATAACATTGTACTTAAAAATATTAAAAAGCCCTCTATCCTAGGTTTTTAATTGTTGAATTTAAGGCTGTATTTTAAAGTGGTTTCCAGTTTTATGAATTAGAAACAATGTCAAAACCTCCATAATTCATTCCTCTTTAGCATATATAATCACAAATTTAGACTTTATTTGGTACATTATTGAATCTTAATGGTTCAGCATTCATTTGATGGCATTAAAATATTTTGGATGTAGGTTGTTTGGTTTAATACTTTGATATCTTAAAAAGATATAATGCTATTTAAAATAATTAATGGTGATTAAGGCATTTTTCCCACTTTTTTATACCATTAAGATTAAGATTATTTAGACAGCATCTAATTTGACTGCAGGTTAGATTTCCTAAATTCTGACTATTAATTTTTGTCAGATAACTTTAATGTGAGTGATAGCATCAAATCAAACACCCTCATGATAGAAAACACAAAATTTTGTCATAGGAAACATTAAACCACAGAAACCGTAAATGCATTCCTTTTTGGAATTGATTTTTTCCGGTGCAAGTTTGACTACTAATTTCCGGGCGAAGCCTTATTCTTTTATCTACATGAAACTTAAAGTTTTTGCAGTTGGTGATACATTTCCTTCTTTTCATTTACCTTAAAATTTTGATTTTTATAATTTTCATAAATTCTATTATCATGCACTTAAAAAATGTCTATCTTGATTATTTTTGCCATGATGATTTTAATCTCCTAGTTGTGTTGACTTTAAGTGAGTGGTTTCATTATTATGATTGAATTCCACTTTATATTCATGTGCATGTCCTTGATTGGTTTCTAGATTTTCATTTTAGTCTTTAACTTGATTATTGTCCTTTCCTATTTACTTTTGCTTGTTTAGTAATTCATGCAATGGACTTTGACAGTTGGGTCATGCTTCCCATTGAAAGTATGAGTTTTTATCATAAACTTTTTTTCGAAATTCAAATTCTTCTCCCCTACATGATTTAGGGTCATTCAAAATTTTTATGCCGAAATTTTGTTGTAGTGAATAGTGCTGTAGTGCCTAAAAATGTTTTCTTCTAATTTCTCCTCATAAAGATGATTGGACCTCATATGTTTTTCTTCTAGATCTTTATCTTTTTAATGATTATTATCAGAGAGAGGTTTGGTTTGTATCAATATGTGGAGGTTTGCAAATACAATACCAATATCATTTACATGTTTTGACCTCTATACTAGTGTCGAAATCGAGTCAACCGTGCAAGATGGATTTCATAAGCAAAAAAGCTTGAAATTGCGAAAAAAAAACTCATCTGATTGTGTCGACCAAAAATCTAAAATCAATGAGATGACCTCTGTTCGAAAAATGGACAATGCCGATGCGTCCGGAGCAAAGGAAATAGCTAAGATCGACACCCATATTATGGGGGTCGCCGGTCGGCGAAAATTTAAATTTTGAGCGCGCAAATCGAGATGACGACGATGATGATGATGTGGCGACCAACTCGATGCAAGATTAAAATTTTTATTTTTATTTTGTGCAATATAATTAATTTTTTGTAGAAAGAGGGAGAGAAAGAGAGCTTTTTAAATAAAAAAAAGAATTTTTCTTTAAATAAATCTCCAAAAATACCCTAAATATCCACTTAAACCCTTCTCACTCCCTCACACTCTCATAACCGCCCCCCACTCTCATCTCACGATCACTCTCATGCCAAGGAGCCGCTCCTCTTACGATTCCTCACGCCAAGCCGCCGGCCTCCAAGTTCTCTCCCTCCAAGCTCTCCAAGGTAAATCTCTCATTCTTCTTCCTCCATTCTCCATTCTCCCTCTTCTTCTTCCTTCCCTCTTCTTCTTCTCCATTTTCCTACTTCTTTTTCCTTCCATTTCCTCCCTCATTTACTTTCATTTTCCTCATCTCCTCTCTTCTCCTTCCTCTCCATCATCTTCTTCTTCTTCCTCCAACATTTCTTTCTCCAAACATACCCTAACCCTATTTTTTTATTTCTCCACATCCACTCACCAAACCACCAACCTCCCTTCACAAAAAAACACTTCTCTACACTCCCTACCAAAAAATCTATTATCCTCAACTTTCTCTCTCTAGCCTAGAGAGAGGAAGTTCTCTCTAGAAAGAAAGAAATTTCTTTATAAATGTCATCCTCTCCACTCTAAACATCTCCCCTCACCACCATTTCACCTCATTTCTCTTCCTAGTGAGAGAAAAAAATTTCTCCCTTTCTCTCTAAAATTGGAGAGAGAGGGATTTTCTCTCTCTAAACTCCATCGCTATCCTCCTACACATCATAAACTCCTTTCCCCTCTTTTTCTCTCTTTCCCTCTCTCTCCCTCTCTCTCTCTAGAAAGAGAGCTCCCTCTCTTTCTCTCTCTAAAATTGGAGAGGAATTTTCTCTCTAAATTATCACTCATTTTTCTACGCCTCCTATGCCCTTTCCACAAAATTTTTTTCCTCTTTCTGTCTCTAACATTTTAAAAAAGGGCATGCGTGTAATTAATTTTATTGCACAAATAATAAAAAAAAATTAAATTGTGCATCGCAGGTTTCCCACCGTCTCCGTCATTTGCCGTCGTCGCCTCGATCACTGTATACCCTAGGTAAAAGCCCGACACTAGCATTTTAAATTTCTATGCATGAAATAAGTACTCGTGATCGCTTTTGTTTGCGAGCGAGGAAAAATAAGTATCAGTGACCGCTCTGATTAGCGAGCAGGGAAATTCGTATGCATGAAATATAAGTACCCGTGACCACTTTTTTTAACGAGCGGGGAAATTTGTTATTTGTAAAATAATTGATTAGTTAAGTACCCGTCATTTCTTTTAGGTGGGGAAAATGTTATGCTTTAAACATGTACTTGAAGATCCCGTAACCACTTTTGTTAGTGAGTAGGGAACGAGACTGCGGCTGCGGTGTCATTTAACACCTACCGTGACTATCTTTCTTGGTAGGCGGGAAGTCCTTACACACCCTGAATCTCGATGCAGCCCCTTATGCAGGGACGACGTCGCGATGCTTCCAAAATTTTCAACATAATCAATGATTTAGAAAATTTCAAAAAAAAAAAAAAATCCACCTAAAATTCTAAGTAAAAAAAAAAATGACATCATAGACTCCCGACACTGAAAAATCAAAGATGAAAGGAATTCATATCTTATACAAAATGACTTACACTGAACTTGTAGGGAAACTAGTCGTTCACTAGCGGATAGAGACTAAATCTCTTTCTCACAACTCCTGACTTGCACACCTAAGTCCCCTACAAAAACTCATTATATAAATAGGATGAGAAAAAATGAATTGAAACTCCCTCCTATTTATAACGTTGAATTTGAATTATTCGTGGGTCCCATCAGCTTAGGATCCCCTTACTACAAGACAAGGAAGGTATACCTGTGGCCCCCATCAGCTTAGGATCTATTGCTATAAGACAGGGAAGGTATGTCTGCGGGCCCCACCAGCTTAGAATCCAAAGATGTCATTTCGAGATTCCAGCTTTGGATTCCTCGAGTATTCACCAGTTGGTAAAATACGAGCTAATACTCGAGAAATCCAAAGCTGGAACCTCAAAATTGCATCTTAGGATTCTAACTTGGTGGGGCCTACATGAGTACGTTCACTGTCTTGTTCCAAGGGATCTTAGACTGGTGGGGCCCACAGGTGTACCTTCCCTGTTTTGTAGCAAAGAGATCATAGGTTTGTGGGGCTCACAAATAATTCAAAATCAATGTTATAAATAGGATGAGGTTTAAATTCATTTCTTCTCATTCCATTTATGTAAGAAACTTTTGTAGGGGTCTTAGGTGTGCAAGTTAGGAGTTAGGAGGAAATGATTTGGTTTTTATCCACTTGTGAACGAATAGTTTCCCTACAAGTTCAGTGTAAGTCATGTTGTGTATGATATAAATTTCTTTCATCTTTGATTTTTCAGTGTCAGGAGCCTAGGATATCGTGTGCTTTATTTTTTTGTTAACTTAGAATTTTAGGTGGATTTTAATTTTTTTTTTTGAAATTTTCTAAGTCATTGGTTATGTTTAAAATTTTTGCAGCACCTCGACGTCGTCCGCATAGGAGGTTGCATCGGGATGTGTAAGGCCTTCCCTCATGCCAAGAAAAACAGTCAAGGTAGGTGTCAAATGACACCGCGGGGGCAGTCTCGTTCCCCGCTCGCTAATAAAAGCGGTCACGGGGTCTTCAAGTACATGTTTAAAGCACAACATTTTTCCCGCCTAAAAGTAATGACGACTACTTAACTAATCAACTCTTTTACAAATAACAAATTTCATCACTCGCTAATAAAAGCGGTCACGGGTACTTATATTTCATGCATACGAATTTCCCCGCTCGCTAATAACAGCGGTCACAAGTACTTATGTTTTATCGTTCGCTAACAAAAACAGTCACGAGTACTTATTTCATTCAAAGAAATTTAAAATGCTAGTGTCGGGCTTTTACATTGGGTGTGTAGCGATCGAGGCGACGACGGCGAATGACGGCGACTATGGGAAACCTGCGATGCACAATTTAATTTTTTTTAAAATTATTTATGCAACTAAATTAATTACACATACTCTTTTTTTAAAAAAGGTTAGAGAAAGAGAGAGATGAGCTCTCTTTCTAGAGAGAGAAAGAGGGAAAAAAAGATTTTTGGTGGAAAGGAAAGGGCGCAGGAGGCGTAGAAAATGAGGGGTGATAATTTAAAGAGAAAATTCCTCTCTCTAATTTTAGAGAGAGAAAGAGAGAGGAAGCTCTCTTTCTAGAGAGATAACGAGAGGGAAAGAGAGGAAAAGAAAGGGGAAAAGGGTTTATGACGTGTAAGAGGATAGTAGTGGGTTTAGAGAGAGAAAATTCCTCACTTTCCAGTTTTAGAGGGAGGAATTTTTTTCTCTCACTAGTAAGAGAGATGAGGTGAAATGGTGCTGAGAGGAGATGTTTAGATAGGAGAGGAGGACATTTATGAAGAAATTTCTCTTTCTAGAGAGAAAATTTTCTCTCTATACCAGAGAGAGAAAGTTGAGAATGATAGATTTTTTTGGTAGGGTGTGAAGGGATTGTAAGGAAGTGTTTTTTGTGAAGGGAGGTTGGTGGTTTGGTGAGTGGATGTGGAGAGATAAAAAAAATAGGATTAGAGTTGGGGTATGTTTGGAGAAAAGAAAGGTTGAAGGAAGAAGAAGAAGATGAAGGAGAGGAAGGAGAAGAGAGGAGAGGAGGAAAATGAAAGGGAATGAGAGAGGAAATGGAAGGAAGAAGAAATAAGTAGGAAAATGGAGAAGAAGAAGAGGGAGAATGAAGAATGGAGAATGGAGGAAGAAGAAGGAGAGATTTATCTTGGAGAGCTTGGAGGGAGAGAACTTGGAGGCCGGCAGCTTGGCGTGAGGAGGAATCGCAAGAGTGGCGGCTCCTTGGCATGAGAGTGATCGTGAGATGAGAGTGGGGGGCGATTATGAGAGTGTGAGGGAGTGAGGAAGGTTTAAGTGGGTATTTAGGGTATTTTTATGGATTTATTTAAAGAAAAAAAATCATTTTTTTATTTAAAAAACTCTCTTTCTCTCCCTCTCTTTCTAATTTTTTTTTAATTATATTGCACAAAATAAAAATAAATTTTTTAATCTTGCATCGAGTTGATCGCCACGTCATTGTCATCGTCGTCATCTTGATTCGCGCGCCCAAAATTTAAATTTTTGTCGAACGGCGACCCCCATCAATATGGGTGTTGATCTTAGTTGTTTTCATTGCTCCGGACGCATCGGCGCTGTCCGTTTCACGAACGGAGGTGATCTCAACGATTTTGGGTTTTCGGTCGACACATGTCGGTTGAGTTTTTTTTCTCGCAATTTCGAGCTTTTTCGCTTCCGAAATCCACATTGTGCGGTCGACTCGATCCCGACACTAGTATAGAGGTCAACAACATGTGGGAAAACAATTGACTCATGTAAGGCCTCAAGGTCTAGCTTGCTTACAGGTTGAGTCTTATGATGGGTTCGTTCTTAATCCTTATCTCTAGGGTTAATTAGTGGTTTCAGAAGGACCCTTCTTGCGTTACCTTCATGAAAATCCCTTTGAGCATCATAGGGATGTCAATTTTTGACACGACCTGAAGCACGACCCAAACCTGACCCGGAAAAATCCGGGTTCGGGTCAACCCGAATCGGGTCGGGTTCGGGTTGAACAAATCAACCCGTTTTAAAAATCGGGTCGAGTTCGGGTTGACCCATCAACCCAAAATTGACACGAAAACTCATATTTGACCCGAAAACCCTAGGTCCACCCGTTTTTGACTCGATTTTGACCCGAAAATCGAATTTTGACCCGATTTGACCCGAAAATTAGTAATTTTAGATCAAATTCGGGTCATTCATGTCGGGCCGGGTTGACCCGGACCCGAATCGGGTCGGGTTCGGGTCAGGAAACCTGACCCGTTTTTAAAAACGGGTCGGGTCGGGTTCGGGTTGACCCGAACAGTGCCGGGTCAATTTCGAGTTCGACCCGAACCCGACCCGCTGACCCGAATTGACACCCCTAGAGCATCATTTGTAGTCTGCTTTGCTTGACTTTAACTTGACATATTGTACATTTGTATCATAGTAAGATTGAAGTTCTCAAAGATCTTTACTTGTTGTATCTGAATTCATCTTTTGATGATCTAACTTTTCCTTACTTTGACTTATTTGCTCAAAAGCTTGGACCAGACTCTTATGTTCACCTTTAAGCAGCATATGCTATAATAAACTAAACATGAATATGCTAAGAAAATAGTTTAGTCATTAATGTGATGGCTGCAACTAGAATAAAATAGGAATAAAATAGTGATGCAAATGTAATTACTTTTGGGTATCAAAGAGAAATAGATTTGCTAAAATTCACTTACAGAACTAGTACTTAGTTCATAAAATGGTCTGAGATATTAACAAAACTAATTTTCCTAGTTGTATAGTGTTATGTAGCAATTATTACAAATTCGGATATGAGAATGACAATAATGTATAATTTACGGGCCTTTGACTAGGGCATCAAGCTAAATAAGATTTGCTAAAATTCATTTACAAAACTATTACTAATGCAACTGAGGAAAAAACATAACTAATTTTCCTAGTTGTGTTGTGGTAGGCTGCAATTACAGCAAATTCAGATATGAAAATGATCAAGGGCTTTTGACTAGGGCATCAAGCTATCCTATTTTTATGCACTTAAACTTCCAATATTTAGCGGGATTCTTCTTTTCACAGGCCAGGTACCTTTATTGGAACTTTTCTAGGCTATGGCCATGCAATAATTAATAGATTTTCTAATGAACAAGAAACATACAAGCAACAAAAAATCAAGGATTTATATGTATAAAGGTGTCCAATTGAGTTTTGATTAATTCATAGGTTCTTCACAGGCAAAGTTTTCAATCTTCATATTTTGTAGAAATGTAGACCCTTGTTTGGAAGATGGTGGCTGGTCAGCGAGCATGCAGTAGACAGCAAACGCTTGTTGTCATAACTCTGATTTCCATTCAATTGGAGGTTGAGGTTGATTGGAAATTGTACATGATGGTGCAAAATTTGGAAGCGGTCTGGAGCAATTGTTAGGGGCTGTCCTGGGAGTGGACAATTTTGTTCATTATTTTTTTAGCGTGCTCAATCCTTCTTATTGTTGATGACTTCTTGGTATTTTTAATTTTTAATTTTTCTCTTTCAGATGTAAATACCTGCCATATATAAATTCATTATGATAATATATATTTTTTGTTTATATAAACAGTATGCATCATTCCATTTTCAATTATGAAGTAGTTGATTTTTTTCTGATATATTTTATTGGTCCTTGTGGTCTCTCATTAGCATATACATATATTTCTTCTTTATGCTGCAGCAAAAGTGAATATGTACGTTGCTTGTGTTTTGCTCAAGAAAATGTCCTCTATGTTGCCACTAATAATGGTATTTTATATCATGTTGAGATTTGTAATCCCGGTGCTGTAAGATGGATTCAACTTGCACAAGTCAGTAAAGAATCACCAGTTATTTGCATGGATTTAATATCTATCAGATCATATAAAACTTCGTTTATGGAGTATGCCATTGCTATTGGTGATGGCATGGGAAAAGCTACTGTCATGAAGCTGATTGGTGGGAAATCAACTTCTATGGTGGTTTTCTCTCTTACTTGGACTGCTGAAAAGAAAAGGCAACTGTTAGGAATCTATTGGTGCAAATCTCTAGGTTGTAGGCAAGTACTAGGTTATTCAGTTTTTGTATATTTATTTTTTCTTGTTAGAGTGCAAACTTTCAAAAGGATGATCATTTGTGCTTTTCATCAATTATGCAGACACCTTTTTACAGTTGACCCTAGAGGAGTGTTAAAACTTTGGAAAATAAACATTCCTTTAGACTCTGACACTGATGAAAACAATTTGAAACCCAAGGTCTCTTTTGTTGCGGAGTTCACATCACATTTTGGGGCGCGTATCATGTGTATGGATGCATCAACTAGAGAGCAGGTGATTCCTATGAAGTGCATTTGCAATGTGATAGTATTCAATTTGTACATTTTTTGTGGGTGATATACTGAAACACCTAAACAGACTAACATTAAAGGATGCTGAGAGCACACACATTTGATCCAATCCTTTATATTCATAGGCACATCTGTTATCGTTTATTTTTCCAGTTATCTTTATTCTTTTGTATCTGACAAGTACAACTACGATCTGTTATTATTTAATTTGTAGCTAGCTTTTTTATTTTGTTAATGCTACAGTAACTTTCACTTCCAATAAAGAACAATTTGTCTAAGTTACATGCTTAAGAGCGAGCTTATGAGGTTTTGATGTAATGGGGCTAGTACTATAAAAGAAGATTAATATTCTTGAATTGTTATTGAATATTGGCATTTTGGTATATTCTTATAAATATGAAGCATGCAATTATATTCTCTCGACTGAGATTTACCTTTTAATTAGAGTGTTGAAATTATGTTTTCAGCCAAAATTTGTGAGTACCTTATAGCCTTTTCACCTAACGTTGTAGACTAATGAGAGCTATGAGAATATTTACTTAAACTAAATTGCTTGGCTGGTAATGACAACATGCCAACACTTACGGCAATATAGTTTTAGAATGTACAATTGATTACTTATCTAACATAATATTTACCTTTGTAGGTTTTAGTATGTGGTGATCAACGTGGAAATCTTACTTTATATCCCTTGTCAGAAGACATAATGAACGCTGATTCTATTGAAATTGTGGAAAAGGTTTCCATAATAAATCAGTTTAAAGGAGCACATGGAATTTCTACTGTAACCAGCATCATGATTACTATGTTGGGTTTTAATCAATTGGAAATACGCACAGTAAGATGTAGAACCTGAAAATTTTATCTGACATAAAAAAGGGCAGATTGAACTCGAGCCAATATATATATTTTTTGTTTTCTAGACAGGAGGTGATGGTTGCATTTGCTATTTCAAATATGATAAGAACTGCCAAATACTGGAATTTGTTGGAATGAAGCAGGTGAAAGAGTTAAGTACAATTCAATCTGTCCACACAAGTTCCATCTCTGTTATAGAGTCTCAAATGGGTAAATATGCAATAGGCTTTACATCTGCGGACTTCATCATGTGGAACCTAGCAAATGAAACAAAGGTATTGCAAATGCTTATTTGTTTTTAAAAATTCGAACTTCAGACTAATGATTTTTTTGCTTTAAACAGATGTTAGAAATTCCTTGTGGTGGATGGCGGCGCCCATATTCTTATCATCTGGGAGCTGTTCCTGAGTATCAGTTCTGCTTTGCATTTGTTAAGGTCCGTAGAATTTATTCCAAAATTGTTATCAATCAAAAACTAATCATAACATCATGAAATTTTTTATTATATCTTGGATGGGTTCATGCATGAATGTTTCCAGGATCATAACATCCATATACATAGGCAGTGGGTGCCCGTCTATGAAAGACAGCAACACACACAAGTTTTGCACCTGCAATACCATGGAAGAGAGATTCATGCTGTGTGTTTCATATCATTTATGTTGCAATCAAATCCAGAAAAACATTTTGATTCGTTGATTGCAACAGGTTGTGAAGATGGAACAGTGAGAATAACAAGGTTAGAAAGAGCAGTGAGAATAAGCATGGAAGTTATTTTTTTAGTTATTGCATTAGCTTTTCGTTATTTTTAATTCAGTTGATTACCCTTAGCAGCTTCCTTGGAAGTTGTTGCTAGGATTTTTAAATTGAATGCTGCCTACATCAAATTTAATATGTATAATGGTTGTTTATCATTTGTGCTGCCATTTTTAGTTTCTACATTTGAAGAAAAAAAGAAAGTGGGTGTCAGCTAGTTTAGTTGGTAAAGATCTTGAAAGTTGTTCCTGAGATTTTGAGATTGAATGCTGCCTACATCAAATTTATGCTTTGGCATTGAAAATTCTAAAAGCAAGAAAAACTTTCATTGCAGAATTTTTCAAATGGTACCTATCTTGAGATTGAATGCCGCCTACATCAAATTTTTGCTTTGGCATTGAAAATTCTTAAGTTTTTCATTGCAGAAATTTTCAAATGATACTTGTTTGAGCTAGTTTTTCTGTGTATGTGAGTTTGCAATTCTCTTTTGTTAAGTCAATGGTGAATACCTTTTTTTTATTGCTTGAGATATCCCAAGGCTGTTGAGAATCTGATCACTGAACTCATCAGGTGCACACCTTTGAGCTTAGAAAGTTGGCGTGAGTCAAAGCTACTTGGCGAGCATATTGGTGGATCAGCAGTGAGATCTATATGCTTCACATCAAAGATATATTCAATTGGGGCTGGTCAAACATTCTGTTCTTTGAATGATGTTTTAGATTGCAGCAAAATTGAGCCTCTCCTACTTATTTCAGTCGGTGCCAAACAAGTTTTAACCTCATGGATTTTGCGTTATCAGACAGCAGATCTTACTGAGGAGCATCTTGATACGAGAGTATCAGAAACTGCTTACTGTTCTTCCAATGGTAAACATTCTCCTATTTCTTTTCAGTGGCTTGCCACTCATACCCCATCTAACAATGCCTGCGCACGGAGAAGATTGAAAAAATTGCCAGAAACCACTGAACATAGAAATGCCTCTCCAATTGTCTCTGATGCGAAACCAGAAGCATCTATAGTTGAAAACATAGAACAAAATTCCATTTCTGCATCTTTAGATATAAACGAAAATGATTGGAGATACCTTGCAGTCACTGCATTTTTGGTGAAACATGTTGATAGCAGGTATTAAATCTTTTCTCGTTGATATTGGATTTGAGGATTTGATGCACTGTCTTGTTTCCTGGCTTTTCAGCTTTGTGATACAAATAAAAGGGCAAATTAAAAAGAATATCATAATCCTTTTATTTGTGAATCAGGTTTACAACTTGTTTCATTGTTGTTGCTTGTTCGGATGCAACATTATCACTGAGGGCTCTTCTTTTGCCTTACCGCCTTTGGTAAGTAGCATGCAAAACGAACAATAATTTATTTTTGAAGTAGACTATTCTATTTGAGGAAAAATTATTACGGGTGGGTCCGGATTTGTCCGGAGACAGATAAAAATGCGTCACGTCGCCCCAAAATTATACCGAGCGCGGAACTGGACGATTCTCCCGTCCGGTGTCCGCACAGAATAATCGCTCCTATTTGAGGGCTCTTCTTTTGCCTTACCGCAGTTTGTTAAGTAGCATGCAAAACGAACAACTAGTTATTTTTGAAGTAGACTACTCTATTAGTCTAATGCGTGTTTTCATTAAGACCTGATAATCCACACAGACGCTGGTGTTCCCAACTCTACACCGCCTATTTTTAAACAATGATTTTGATATTGTTATTTGTAAACATCCATTTGACAGGTTTGATGTTGCTTTATTGATGCCACAACCATCTCCCGTTCTTGCGCTGAAACATGTTGCTGTTCCTCTTTGTATCAGTGCTTATGGTATGTCTCTCTACATTTGAATTTGCCTAAATTTGTGTATTAACTCAATTGTTAATCTGTTCTATCTGTTCGATAAATATTAGTAAGCTGACATGGTATAAGTATGAATAATGGTATTATTATTAGTAGAGTATTCTAAACTATATCTATTTTTGTTCTACTCTACAGTTTGGCTACTAATATTTTAAAAATGATGAAAAATTATCATCCTTTATATTTTGATGGTGATTTGATCATTTTTCATGGAAAATATCTGGTATGTGATTATAAAATGTATCGTGTTAAATATTGCAAAAAATTAAATGATAACATGCTCATTAAAATAATACAACTATTATATCTTTTCAAAATAACATGTCATGTGACTTGCAAATTGTTGACATTCACATACATGCCAAATCAGTGGGAACGAAGATGACGAAAGTGATGATCTACGAGTGCAACTTTTGGAGAGCACGACGCGTCACCTAAGTTCTCATATGCCTTCCAATCGCCGTACAGATCGTGCCAATGCAATCAGAGCATCGAATTTATCTATGGGAGGGCCCCCTCGCGGTTGAATTGAACGAAGGTGGTCGAAATAAAAAATCGACAAACATTACATTGCACTACATTGTCTAAACGGCGTCCGTCCGCAAAACGGACTTCATCTTTGCGTTCAGAACGTCGACAATACCCAAAAATGACTGTAATATTGCACGAGTGCTTGCACAAGCCAAAATGTGAATTTTACATATATATCACTAGGATTCATTCTCAAACTATCTCTTGCCAATAAGGACGTGACACGTGTCCTCGAACCGGTGGTCCTATCGTCAAATGGTACCACAGGTAAACGATTATGATCGGGGCCCTCTGATCGGGTGGTTTTGCCCCCAAATGATTCCACTAAATTACGCTCACTACTAGAGCATGTATGTTCCCCAATGTCTCTAAATCATTGAATAATGAATCAATAGAATATAATTGATAAGGCAAAAAGTCATTTGTTTGCTAAGGTGGATTCAAATCTGTTCCTTTAGGAAAACATTCATCCCAAATCTACAAGGTAACCTTGGACGAAGCAACCCATGGCTGTCGACAAGGATCACTCGGCATGTTGGGTTGACTGCCTCCTCTAACTAAGTAGATTAGGGACCATGATGGCCCGGGTTGACGGAACAATGTGATCTTGATCGAGTTCATCATCGTTCCCTCCATCTGCTTTAAGTGTACGGTGATAAAATTTCAATTTTCAATATCAAATTCTGCTGCCACTATACGCTGGGTACTAAGTGCCTATTTCAATGACTAACCTTAATCGAAAGTTCTCTCATTATCGAGAGGAGTAATTAACTATAGGGGCTTACGCCTATAGAAAATCTGAACTCATATCATAAAGTCCGAAAAAAATGAGGGCTAAATCTTTGGGTAATGTCTTATCTAAAACCCAATAAGTCTTCTGAAAATTTACCCCGGAAAAACTCATTAAAACTCTCCTCGCCTACATAAAAACGAAAGGGATCGTGGAAAGACCGGGGTGCAAATTTTTGGAGCCCACACAAACTACTGTGGAACATTAATTTATTAGTTTAATGACTACATTATCATTTAATTTATCACTTGCATTTAACGTGACTTATTTTATCACCATTCAGTTCATATTTTTTCAAAGTTATGAAAACTGGACCGGACAACGAATCGGAAGAGGGAGGTTCACGGTTTGACCGGTTGAATCGGGGTCGAACTGGATGACGTAATAAATAATAATATTATTAAAAATTAATAAAATAAGAATCATATTAATATAAGTATATGAGCATTTAATAATATTTATAAATTTTAAAATATATAAGACAAAGGCACAGATATATATATATATATATACACACACACAATTCATCCCAAGAGCAGCATATTTGACTCTTTTGTGATGCTCAATTTACAAATGAGTGCTAGTTTATTATGAACGAAGTGAACATAATGAAAGAGAGCCCAAGTAGAAACGAGTCCTGGCTGGCCTGAATATAGGTTATTCTTTCAGATTAGCATACCTACTAGAAACTTCGAAGTATCTGGACGAACTAGGATGTCTAAATATTAAATATATTTAAATATTCCTATAAAAGTAAGATAGGAAATTTTAATTTCTGTTTAGGTGAAACGGTTCCGTCATTGTTCATATTCTATTGCTTATGGTGCTGAGGATTTTTTGTATGTTATGACTTTGAGGTGGTTGGTGCCTCTTATCAATCATTTGGAGGAGATCAAGCTTACAATACCTTATGTGACGGAAGAATAATTCTAGGTTGCTTGGAATCAAATGCCCTAGTTGGGTCCTAATTTATAGGTTAATCTAGGCCCGGCCTTTAACAAAAAATGAAATTATAAATAAGGGAGATCATTTAAATTTATGGTACCCTTGCTTAAAGAAATGACGGGGAGAGATATTACTAATGGAAGTTCAGCCTAATTAAATATCCTCAAGTGAATTCCATAATTCTTGCATATCTTTCATAATCTTTGGATTCTATCTCATGTTCTCCTAGTAGATTGAAGTATAAGAAAGTTAGCTCGAGGATAATATAAGATTCTGTACTATGACCTTTTTTATTCCACTTATTTGTGATCTCTTCATCTGAGTTGTTGATGTTTCTAGAAACATATTAGTTGATTCAGCTCGCCTCCCAATTTTATTATTTATCCCATCAGCTTTATTTTACTAACTATAATTTTCATCTTTGTAGGTATTATTTCAACTCGTGTAATGCATATTATTATTAGTGGATCTACAGATGGTAGCATCTCTTTCTGGGATCTTACTGAAGTAGTGGAGAATTTTATGCAGCTTGTTTTAGATTATCAGCCTCAATTGCTTATTGATTGCCAAAGAAGGCCTAGAACAGGGAGAGGAAGTCAAGGTGGACGATTTTGGAGATACTTGATTAATCAACCTAGTGAGAAGAAAATGAGAGATTCTATGAGCGAAAATGAACTTAGAAATGGCTCATATTCCATAAGTTCTGAACCTATTGCTCCTGAATCCTCATGTGGGCAAGAAAGCTACCTTGTGAGTGATCAAATAGGTGGTCACCATACCAGAAGTTCCGATTCCTCCTTTTCCCCTGTTTCTCATTCCATGACCTCTTTCACAAGACGAGAACTTCTGCCTTTACTTGTTCTCAGTTCTGTTCACCAGTCGGGTGTCAATTGCCTTCATGTGTCAGAAGTGAAGGATTCTAATGACAAATTAGGACGAGTTTATTGTGTTGTAAGTGGTGGGGATGACCAAGCAGTGCACTACCTTTCCTTTAAGGTTGATGGGCCAATGGCAAACTCAGCTTCAAGCTGTGGTAAAACTAGTGATGCAAAACATATGCAGAATATTAATCTTTCTCAACCATCAGGTATTTTTATGTATTTGATGTTTTGATCATTATGCAGAACTTCGTATTTCACTGAAGAGAAAAGATAATCTCTTGTAGGATCAAGCTTCGTAGAAAGGTGTTCTTATAGCCTTATGAAGAATGATCATCACATTAGAATACTTCAAAGGCAAAGTGTCAACTCGGCTCACAGCTCATCAGTGAAAGGTATCCAAGACCTACCTCATTTGATTAATTTTGAAGTTGGGATTGCTATTTTCTAATAGCACGTTACTAATGTAATGAGTAAGACAAATAGTGCCAACTGTAACTTGTGGAGATTTTTGATGAGAAGAGTATGCTTTGTACTATTTCTGCATGTCATGGAATCTGGCATTGATAAACTCTTCATCAAATTTCCTATTATAAAAAAGAAAATCCTATTGTGATTGATGGAGGTAACTTAGTTTTATATAATATTATCATATCTAAATTATTGCTTATGCTAACTATTTATAATAGGAATGTATGCTATTATTATTATTATTATTATTATTAGTGTTATTTCTCATTCTAAACGGCAGCCTTCCGATGACCCGGTTAGGAGAATAGATGTATTAGATTTGACTTATGTTAAGAAAGGTGGAGGTAGACTTAAGAAGACTTGGATAGAAAATATTAGAAATGACCTTTCTTTTTTAGATTTAAATGAAAATTTGACTCTTGACAATGCACAATGGAGAAAAAGATTCATGTATCAGACTCCATATAGTGAGATAAAGGCTTGATGTTGATGTTGATGTTGTCCTCTTCTCTCGCTTAAATATAGACACATGTAAGTTTGCAGTTCACGAAAATTTAATATAAATGTAGTTCTTGTCAATTCTCTTTTCTAACATGGTATATGTGCCAAAATCTAGAATCCTCCTGTTATTCTCTAAACAATTTCTATCAATGTTGCATTTCTCAGTGTTTTGATTTCTATTAGCCTACGCTTGAATTTCTTTATGAATGTGTCCCCTTTACTATTTATTTCCTTCTACCTTTATGATATTATCAGGTCTATTGTTTAGAGTGATGATTAATTAGATGGGGATATTATTAGTAGAATTTAAGTTGGATGGTTGAAGTTGAGGAATGCATTGGATTTGTTGTGTGATTAAAAAGTTACCCTCAAACTTAAGGGAAAATTTTATAAGATGGTGGTGAGACCTGCAATGCTTTATGGTGCAGAATGTTGGCCATTAAAAGATAAGCATAATTGATGAGGACATTCGACCATTGAAAGTTTATCAGAGAAGGGGTCGAAGATCTGCAACCATGATTGAACCACTTTATTTTTGAACTTTTAGTTGTATTGATTTATTTATGTATCTTTTATGTTTTTACTCTCACTTGAGGGAGTAGGCTTATGTGAACCCGGGGTGTACTTTTGTCATTAGACAATATTTGTAGAAGATATTGATTTTTTAAATACACAATTCATATTGAAGACCATATTCCTATCCATTTATCTTATTTCATACAGAATCTTGCTTAGTAAGGACCTGCCTTTTATTTGTCTTCCATGTTATTCCAACTCAATTGTTCTCAATGTAGGTATTTGGACAAATGGCATTTGGGTTATTTCTACGGGTCTGGATCAAAGGATTCGATGCTGGCAGATTGGACTCTGCGGAAAGCTCATTGAACGTGCTCATTTAATCATCAGTGTACCTGAGCCAGAATCTCTTGATGTAATTACCTCTGACAGGTCGGCAATTTCCCTAATATCATTATCGCTTTTATATTTTCTTCATATTATAAATGATTCTAATGTGCCATTGTCTTCTTGATCAGAAAAAGGTACCAAATTGCTGTAGCTGGAAGGGGCATTCAGATTATTGATTTCTTCCCACCATGTGATGAAGACTGAAATCCTTGTTCTGCATTCTGCAGTGCATAAATGAGTTTCTGTTTGAGTAGGAAATCCGCCATGTAGTTTTTGGTTTGGTTCCTACTCCCCACTTTCAATTATTTGAGAAATATATGTAATTTAAAACTATCTGATAGGTGCCTTGGTAGTATCAATTGAGCAAAATAATGGCTATGCATAGTTTGGAATCATAATCCAATTGAAACGAATTGGATCTCTGATTTTTTTTTTCAATCCTGTTCTAGGAGAGGGCTGTAATGGTAAGAAACTATAACAGTATAAGATCTAATGTTTTATTAGATAGTTAAAAATATGTTAATGTGCAAATGTGAAGTGTTTGGCCTTTTCTCAATGTTTTAAGTTTTTGGATTATAATTAATTGGCCAAAATTTTATTCTTTTTTTTTTCTTCATTATCTAGCAAGTGATATCAAAGAACATTGCTTGTGAAATTGAGGGTTTTATGTGGTCTGAGATCATCTCCAACCGAATTGTATATCATTGTATGCTGTTTGCAAATCATTGCATTCAAACTCCAAACCTCAAGCAAAAAATGGGCAGGTGAACAATGCGATGCCAATATTGGTGTCGGATTGTTCATCTACGTCAAAAAAAAAAAAAAAAAAAAAAAAAAAAAAAAAAAAAAAAAAAAAAAAAAAAAAAAAAAACCTTTGCATTCCGCTTAGCTTCGTAGGAAGCATGCGAAACAAGAGAGAGATGATTATCTTTGCAAAGAAGCGCATGAAAAAAGAAAAATGGAGTTCCTTTGGAGATGAACTATTGCATTTTGAAGTTTTATGATATTTTAGAGTGGAAAATGCCCTAATAGATCTTTGGCATCTTCTTTTAGTTTAGCAATGTTTTTATGTAAAAGACTCTTATCATAGCTCATTTTGATTTAGAGCAGAGAGAATGAGAATATCCTTTGATATAAGTACAACATTTCCCATTTTTTTTTCTTACAAGTCTTCTTAAAATGTTAACTAAATTCCCACTTCAATGCTATATAGAAGAGAAAATTCTTGAAATACCTCACAATAGAGAGCACAAGAGAAGGATAAAGACAGAGAGACAAAGCCAGGGAGATTGATTTTGAGAGATAAAAAGAAGTGGTGGAGAGATGAAGGGTCATAAGTTCTCTAGTTTGTGAGTGGGTGGGTATAAGGGATGGATTCAACTTGCCATATTATGCTTGAATGGTTAATATATCAGGCCAGAGACTTCTAACTCAATATAATTTGTGGATTGAGTGAAGGTTTTTCCATCTCTTTTTTTTTTTTTTTCTTTTTTTAAGGTTCTTCCATCTCTTTGTTTTGAAGAAATTCCAGCAATATGGATTAAAAAAGTTCCAGGTGCATGAAAAAGAAGACTTTATGATCCTAAGGTTTCATTTGGGATGACTTTTTTACTTAAAGCTCATGAACGAGCTAATATCATATAACTGTAATCAAAGAATATCAACTCTATATTCAATATTAAAAGGGATATGAGAAATATCTTCTAAACATTTTGATGATTCTATTATGATTAGGGAAATAATCCAAAATGATTGAATAGTTTGCCAGGCTTTGATGTCACCATTGATTATCATAATGAGTCCTCTAATATGATGGTTAGTTTGGTTGTGATGACATTAATATGTTATGGTTATGATATTTCTTGATAACGTGCATTCGAGCTTTTGGTATTGCTTAATGTATTGAACATGGCCTAAATTCTTATGTTTAGTCTAAGGCTTCGTTTGGGATAATTTTCTTACTGCTTCTTAAAGCAGTTTTTCAGTACAAAAATTTAAATTTAAAATTTTAGTGCTAAAATTAAAAAGTGGTAAGAAAGCCGTCCCAAATGAAGCCTAAGTCGATTTGAAATTAGTCACAGTCACCTTCCAATATATGCCTTATAAAAAACAATCGTCCCTCCTCATAGAATCAATTAGGGTGACACTTGTCAAGTTGTCATCACCCATAGTGAGCATGCTTAACATTATAGCTTTTTTTAATCAAATTCTAAATATTTCACTGAAAGTTACCTCAGTACCTAAGAGTTCAATATCATTTTAATTAGGGGAAGTTTATAGTGCTTGAAATATTATGTAAACTATTGGGGATGTTTGGGTCAATCCTAACCATCTTGATAGAGGAAGCATGGGACACCATCAGATTCAGTATTCAGTTTAACCTATAGTTTATATAAAAATAACATGTGAATGAAAAGTCTTCTGTGGAGAATGAAAAGTGACACACAACAGTCGTATTTGTGGAAGGAAGTGTAATAGTTGTAATGAACATGGCGATGTATCCAAGAATGAAGTATGAAGAATATGTGATGAATTTATAATGGATGCAACGAATTCCCTATAAACATTAATAAAAAAAAGGGGTGACACATGTAGCCTATCGCCTACGAGCAATAAAGTTCCATGCAAGAAATGCAGCAGTTCATTGATCAACATGCATAAGGAACTTGATGATAGATCAACAATGAATGCAACTCATCCCACGAGCAATGTTAATCTACAGATAGACAACTACATTCACTTGTGGACAATAATACTGACAATTATCTTATGAATACACTCAAAGTGATTGAATAAAAAGCATTTAGTGAATAAAGCAACTGCTTTGCATCACTGTCTTGTGAATAACAAAGAGGAAGTTGATAATAATCAGCACAACAATCATGCAAGAAGATGCGACAACCTCTACTTCATCTACATAAGAGCACTAATAAAGGGATATATATGGTAGAAGATACTAAAACTTATCCACGAGTGGCACTAGAAGATCTACATTCAGCGTAGTTTGCTCACGCATAATGGAAGAAAGCTTGTGATGTATAAAGAGAACCTATCTCCATGCAATAATAGTGAATGCATAACTGATATTGGTGGATTCTCTACAAGCATGAGGTAGAAGAGCGTGGCAAGCACATATGCTCGCTAGCACGGACAGAAGATTCGCCATATGTATAAAGACATAACTTATGGATGATGATCAGTAGCACACAATAGATAATGCAAGCACCCACATGCAAATGCAAGGATTTTGTTATGCACACAATAGTTGATCTATAAGTTAAAGATCTGCAATACATACGAACCATCTACGAATACAGATGTATATGCAACATATCACTCATGGGTAGATACATAAAGACTTCATTAAATACAATATCATGTAGTCAACCTCAATCTACATTGATGCAACCACCTTGACACTGGGATTGGTAGCATCGTGACATTCTGGCGGAGGATTGGAGTGTGTGTTGTGGCATTGAGAGATGCCTCTATAATGCCAAGTGTTTGATGGAGAGATTCTAGGAGAAGCTGAAAGGTTCTCTTGGAGTGCAGTGGTGCTAGATAGTTGAGCGCTACCACATTATATCAAATTAGTGATTTTTATATAATTAAAAGATTTAAATTCATTTATGTAAACCCTCACCTAGCCAACTTGTCGGATAAGAGAAGAGGAGAAAAGTGGGAAAACATAAGAGAGAGAAAGAAGAAAAGAAAATTTGGTGGCTAAAGTTTGAATTTTGTATGTCAGGCCAGTTAAGGATTTCATAGAGCACGAGGTAGACTTTTAAACTCATATCTATGATTTTAATTCCAATTATAAAAAGTACGACTATAAATTTATTTTTCTTGGGCTTTATGAATTTTTTAGGGCCTGAAGTTATAAAGTTAAAATGCAGATAGAGTTTGATTATATAAAATCTATGTTTTAATATGTTGTTTTGTCCTTTATTTTGAGCATTTTGACTATATAAAATCAAAATTTCACAAGTTAGTTTTTCCTAATAAATTTTCTAAGTATATGAATTGATATTTTTCAAGTAAATATGGCAGTTATATAACAATCTTAAAATATTCAGCTAAATAATTCCCTAAAGTTATAAATTTAAAGATTAATCTATAGTGAGTATATTGTTATACATATAATTTAGCTTTTACTGATAATTCTGGCAATTCATACATTATTTAAATACGACATTGAGATCATAAATTAGCTACTCTTGAATTCATGATTCCATGGCATAATATTAAACTTGTTTTGATATGTGAAAAAGTGCACTCTTTGATATATAACAAAGGCCCCATATGTTATGTTCTGGTCCTATTTGTATAATGTGGATGTGAGAGGGATTATGTACCCACTTATTGAAGGGATTCTGGACCCACTTATTGAAAGTAAGTATCGGAGGTTATATGAAAATATTTTGTTATAATTCTTGCTACACTTGAAATATGAGCATACATCAAAACATGTTTATTATATTCATTGTATTACATAGTTTGGTATTTTTAATGAATTAAGCACAAATGATGTTTATAACCAAATATTAAAAATTTTAATTTCTTCAAAACTCAAACGAAATGAACAAGTCATGTAAAAGTGCAAATCAAATGATCTTCGATAACATGTGCTCTGTGAAATATTGAAAACCTCTATGAAAATGGTAATTTAAGTATAAGTAAGGATTATGAAAGCATGTATGTATTGAACTCTAGAATTTTTTTTTTTTTTTGTGAATTTATCATTTATTTCTTTAGTTATTACAATTTCATTAAACTATTATTTAATATTTTGAACTAGATAATGATATCTATGATGGATAAGGAAAGAAGTATATATGTTGGGTTGATTATGCTCATTTTGTTCATTTTAAAATTTTAGCAAAACGCAACGACTCAATGTAGCAGATTTAGTGTTAGAGAAAAATATTCTAAGTCTGAGAATCTAAGGTATTATTTTGTAATTCAGTTTTAAATATTCTGACATATAGATGATTAAAAGCCATCTAGATTATTGCATTTATGTTTTGATGAAATGAATAATGTAGCTTTGCTTTTGTATTTTAGATTTTGTAGTAGCTATAGTTGTCTGGTTGTGTTTGATTAATGGATGAGTTAATTATTTATAGGTTTAAGTAATTGAATCCTTCCATTAGATTTTAGAGTGTCAGAAGATTCATCGGTATTAGTTCTTGGGTGGAACTCTAGGATTTTTTTTTTCACTTCAAGGCTCTCTTGAATCTTTAGCCGCAAGTCCAAACCCCATCCAAAAGTCTCCCCCCATATAGAGAACAGAGGTTTATTTAAAATTTTTGAATTTGTCGTGCGCCTTGAATATGGAGAATATCCGAAGAAAATTTGTAGTACTACATCAGACTGCTCATATTGATTTCATCAATCATAGAGCTTTTTTTTAGAATTTAAGTGACTTGATGATGTTGGAATTAAGTGATCTTGGGCTTGTTGGATCGACTCGTTGAGCTGCTTGATTCAACTATAAGCATGCTATATTTGAATATCATTTGGTGACCTAATTAATATTTTGAAGCTTTCAAATATACTTTAAGTCATTGATTTGAGTACATTTAAGCTTAGATTTGACCGATTTTGATGTTGTCTTTTTTTTTTTTTTTGATGTCATTATATTTACCTCGTCGAGATGTTCAGTTTGACCATGAGTTTGTTAAAATTGGAGTTTATGTTCCCTAATTTAATTTTTAAAATTTCTAATTCAAATATGTCTGGAGACTCATGCCGGATCAAGATGATTTTTAGTGGCTTATCAATAATATTTTTTTATAGAGTTAGATAAATAAATATCAAAGCTAAATATTAGATATATAAAGAGATAAAATATTAGTGGCAATAATATAAATCTCTCTTTTATCTAATAAACTTAGTAAAGACACCAAAGAGTTATTTTAAAAATGGAGCTTGATTATAAAGTAATTAAAAAAACAAGCATGATTATTGAAAATTTAAAAAAAAAAAAAACAAAAATGTAAAATGATTTTAAGAAAATGCTAATCTTTTTGACGTATTAAGAAAACGCCAAATAGATCATCATTTTCTTAAGAAAATCTTAAAAAATTATTAAAAAAATATTAAATAAGTTAAATTCTTAAATAGATCTTATTCATCTTTGTAAGATTAGATTAAGTGGCGAAATCCTGGTTATTAGAAGAAGTGATCAAGTTTGAATCTTTAGACAAAATTTGAATTTTTTTTTATAAAATTTGCTTATATGGAAATTAATATATATATAATATTAGAAAAAAAATATTATTAATTTTATAATAAGGACAACGAATCCAAAACATTGTCGTATTAATCCCCGCCAGCAGCAACCCCAGCCAGTATCAATCACAACTCTCCGCCGCCGCCGCCGCCGCAGGAGTTCGCATTGACCATTTTATCCAAAGGTCGGTTCTTGCCGCATCCTTTTACAGATCTCTCAATACGCCCGGACGCAGAACCGTCCTCGTATTCGAACTCGGAGGTCAATTCCTTGAAATCTCTCTGCTCAGCGCTGAAGATCAAGATCAGGATCTAAATATAATGGCCGCTGTTTCCGACTTGGGCTGCCCACTCTTCAACTACATGGTTTCAGTGCTTCATTCGAGTTTCGGCAACGACTTAGACGCCGTCTTTCTCCATAACATCCGAACGGAATGCGAGCGCGCCAAGGACGCCCTATGTTTGGGCTCGGCTATGGGGGAGTTTAAGATTGAGCGACTAGGCATGGAGATGAGACAATTGGTCGATCGGGGATGGGTAGTGGAGATAAATCTCAAGCTACTTCGCACCGGAATCATGAGGTGCTTGAGGGACGCCGGACTCGAGAAAGAAGAAGTGGATGAGGTCGTGCTCGCCGGTGCTTCCTGTAACATACCGGCGGTCCGAAGAGTTCTTCTAGAGTTCTTTCAAGAGCAGAAGTTCAGATGTAGCATCGACCCTGCAAACCTTATGTCCTTCAGTTCCCAGCGATACATAAATAATTTCTCCAGTGTATTTGATAACCCTGTGGCAATTCTTGAGGGTTTAAATTTGGGGCTGTACGCTCTTTGAGGTTTCTTCTCCATTATTCTTTCAACTTCTTGTGAATAATGCAGCAGTCTACAATAATAACAAGAACTTGCTACGGAATTTCTTTGATGACGGGCTATCTCCTTCTAGTGGTCCAATATTTTAGTTTCACTTACATGATTTTGGATTTGAAGCCTAACGAATATTAATGTGCATGAATTTTCAATTAAATTTGCTCAAAAGTCCTTCAACAAAATCTTTGAAAGGCAGAATTTGAATTTCCAATACATTTACATTTAAGTTTTGTTGGTTAAATTTGCGCACATTTTTCATGAAAGATGTGTATTTTTAGGAATTTCTTTGATGACGGGCTATCTCCTTCTAGTGGTCCAATATTTTAGTTTCACTTACATGATTTTGGATTTGAAGCCTAACGAATATTAATGTGCATGAATTTTCAATTAAATTTGCTCAAAAGTCCCTCAACAAAATCTTTGAAAGGCAGAATTTGAATTTCCAATACATTTACATTAAGTTTTGTTGGTTAAATTTGCGCACATTTTTCATGAAAGATGGTGTATTTTTATCTTTTGTAGATTTGTTTTTGTATTTATTTTAATTTTTAAATTTTGAGAGTTACAGAATGATTAATGAACTAATTATTAAAAGAGAAGAAGATTTTTTTTTTCAAGATTATAAATTTAAAAATCAAAGTCTTCTAGTTTTCGCAGAAAAATTTCAATTGAATTAGATCTTGTGATTTTTTCTTTTTTTTGACATTTTAAAATAAAAATGTTTTGTCTTAGGATTATTTTCAACTTATTTACGTTATGTCAAATTAAAGATTAATGTTAGGATGAGAAACTCTTTACATATTGTCATGATTATTTTAGCAAAAGAAAAATTAATCTAAGGGATTGGAGGGCTGGGTAGACAAATGTTAATAAATAAGAAGAGCGGTTGAGGGTTTGAGGGGAGAGATGTTGCACCCAGACAATGGACCTAAAAGGAAAATAACAATAACTAAAAGGAATATGTGAGCTAAAAGTTTAAGAATAATTCTAAAAGCAAACAAAAATGTTATTTCAATAATACGTATTATTATTATTAAAATCATCTGAGCATCTAAACTCAAAATACAAGCTAAATATGTACAATAGTTTAAATGAAATCAAATTATAATATTAAATTAATTAAATAATTCTAATCATAATTGGACCAGAAGCATGAACCTATAAATTCCTTTATAAAAATTACAACTAGTAATCTAAAATCACAAAGTAATAGCATGAGCGTACAAGAATGAACTCTGCAGGTGAAATTCCACTGAGTAAAATATAACATGCATCAATGCACTTAGTAAAATATAAATATCAATGAATGAGGCATAAATATAAGCAAATAAAGATATATTAGTTAAAAATAAGCATTATATTACAATAGTTATAACCAATATATAACAGATGAGATTATTTATTTATTTATTTAGAAATCAATTAGTAATCCTTTTTGTACCATAAAATTTATAGGAATCATCTATGTCAACTAATAATATCTATGTTCAAATGTGAAAACATTCACTTACCAGTCAGTATGCTTATTTATACATCCACCAATTATATCAAAATTTACACATTTATAGTTGCTTGACTACAATACCTCACTAAGAAAGCCATGCACCAATCTTAAGAAAAAATCCAATAACTATTAATAGTATCATCACTTTATTGACTTGTCAATCCACTTAGCCAATGTTAAAAAAGAGTTTATCATCTACATTATATGCATCATACACATAAGTATGTATTATACATTTTTTTATTTGCAATAATAGCTCTTAAGGAAGGTTATGACATGTAATATAGCTACATATTAGTAAAATTGATTAAAAAAAAAAGATATTAATAAAATTGATGACTCATATGGGCAATAATTATTCTCAACAAATCAAAAGAATGCATATTAAACTTATATGAATTTGTGCAGCAAAATAACATGATAGGCTATTTAGCAATCATATCAAAATGATCACTTGAATTATTGTCATTAAATAAACATGTTTTATCATATATTATTGACAACAAAAACATAGAAGCAAGTAGCAAGGAAAACACCCATAAAAAGGAAGCATATGTTTATTTCTTACCCTATAAAAAAGTCACCTATTAGGTCGAGACCATAATTAGTTGAACTAACATTTTGATCATGATTCCAATCTTTATTGCTTAAACATACATTGTTCCAAAATCCTAGATTCAAAAGAATCTAAATCACTCATATATTTAATATATCACACAATAAATATTATCAACCAAAGTAATTAAGTTAATCATATCCAACAAATTAAATATTTTCATAGGATTTGTCTTTAATGCTTTAGGTATTCATCATACTAAAAATACCCCCAAAAATAAAGTAACCCATCATTTTTAAGCCTTTGGTTTTAATAAACCACAATATTCCTCAACTTATATAAAACATGTTATTATTTTTAATAATAACAATGCAATTATAATCTCTCTATAAACTCCTTATTAATTTCATAATTAATAATCACTTTCATGACTTAATCATATACTCAATATGCATTCATTATATATTAATACATCAATCATGAATTTATATGTTTTCTAAGAAAAAGAAAACTCAATTTATGAATAAATCAATGTGGGAGCCACCTGATTAGCCATCCATATAATGTTGGTTTAATGATAGACATTGGATAATCTTATCATACATCTATGGTTTAAAGTGGCTCAAGACTACATGATTTAATCTGAGCTATTGATCAAAATGAAAGGCTCTGATTACGTTTTCAACCTCCTTCACGTCTTTATTGCCATGAAACTTTTCTAGCATGATCCGAGAGATTCCACCAGTGAAATCCCACCAAATTTTGCAAAGACAATCCAGATGAAGGAAACCTATAATCCAATGATGGAGATTTGTTGGCATGATGGTTTCACACTTGACCAGACTACTTAGCTAGGGAATTCAAGTTTTGGTTTATACCACAAGAAAACTCCAACTGGTAAGATTTTGCATCAAGAAGCTTGAGATGATGTCTAGGAACACTTTTTCTTTAAGCGTCATGGCCGTAGGAGCATCAAAGTATGGTTCGAGTGGAGGGTAAATAATGTTTGTTAGAGTTTGCTCGAACTTACTCTCAAAAGGATTAGGAAGATGGGGGAAGGAACAAAAATGCTTGGAAAGCTCTAGAGATGAATATTGATACCTAAATTCAAATGAGACAGATTTAATTGAGATACCCTATTCAAGTCATGGTCGCATCTTTAGATGGTCAATATTGATCAAATGAGCCAATAGATGCTTGCCAAATAGAAGGGGACATCCTAGGTAAGGTTTCTGAGTTTGAAGGAGGTAAACTCAGGCTATGGGGAAGACTTTGTCTTGAGATCATAATGTGAACTCAATTGGGCATGATAAGGCCCAATTGATCAAAGTGGCTCGAGTTGACCCATGCATGGATAGTTCAAGTCAATTTGGGTGCAACCAAGGTTATGCTAGGTGCTGGGTTTGATATGGAAGATACATTGGGTCAAGGGACACCTAATGCAATAGGCAATAGGAATTGATCTAACCAATGCTAAAAATTGGCTAAAGTCAAAGTGATTTTGACCACTTTGAACTAGCCTAAGCCTTGACCCAAGTCAAACCAAGGGTTGAGATGACTAGGGTAGATGCATTGGACCTATAATGGCCCAATGCAAGTTTTAGCTTTGCTTGATGGAGCCTTGGTTGGGAGTGGGCTCAATTGAAGTTGGTTATGACTACTTTGGGTTAGCCAAATTCCTAGACTAGGTTAACCAAGGGCTGGGCCAGCTAGGGTAGGCGTGTTTGGTCATGGGGAACCCAATGCAAGTGGTTACTTGGTCAGAGGTGACCTGGATTGAGTTTTGGCTCCTAAAGAACCTTCTTTGGACACTTGGGTGAAGCCTTATGGCTAACCCAAATGGGCCAAAGGCTTGGGACTTGAAGGAGACTCTCTTAGGGACCTGGTAGATAACCCTAAGGGTTTGGGTTAATGCAAGTTTTAGCTTTGCTTGATGGAGCCTTGGTTGGGAGTGGGCTCAGTTAAAGTTGGTTATGACTACTTTGGGTTAGCCAAATTCCTAGACTAGGTTAACCAAGGGCTGGGCCAGCTAGGGTAGGTGTGTTTGGTCATGGGGAACCCAATGCAAGTGGTTGCTTGGTCAGAGGTGACCTGGATTGAGTTTTGGCTTCTAAAGAACCTTCTTTGGACACTTGGGTGAATCATTTTGGCTAACCCAAATGGGCCAAAGGCTTGGGCCTTGAAGGAGACTCTCTTAGTGTAATATCAGTTTTTGCTCCAGGTTCGTCCGGACGAAGTCGGATCGTCCGGGACGATCGGTACAGGTTGTGCTGAGAAAATCATGTTTGGCTGTTTGGTTCGTCTGGACGAAATCAGGATCGTCTGGACGAAAATAAGTCAGTGAATCCTTCGCCGGGGACGATATGCAATTTTCGTCTGGACGAAATAACTCTCTTCATGGATCGTCCGGTACGAAGCTTGATCGTCCAGGACGATCAGTCTGGATATATATAGAAATGAGATATTTTGAAGAGAGAGAAAAAGTTGAGGAGAGAGAAAAACGAAGGAAAAAGTGGAAAAGTGGATTTTCGGACGACGCGGAGCCGTTTTCGCCCGAAGTGGCTGTTGAGGAAATTGCTGTGCTCGAGGTAAGGCACATTCCGCCTTTCTCAATTTTCAGAACCGTCGTGTTTGGCGGTATATTCTGTCCGGATTTCGTTTTCGTTAATGATTTTTGTCCGTATCTGTTGATTGGCTCAGTTTTTACCGCGTAACTTTCTGTATATTGTTGACGTGCCTAGTGTGCATATTTTGGTTATTTTTTAAAGATTTTTGTCCGGGTATTTTTGATTTGACTGTGTTTTTAGTCGACCAGATTTTTCTGTGAAATTGGAATTTATCTGTGCAGTAGAATAAATGTTCTAAAATGTTGATATCTATATTCTGTGCGAATTTGGTGAATTTTGATTTTCAGGAAAATTGTGTAAATTCTGTATACTGCCGTTGTGCTGCCCGATTTTTGAGTAATTTCTGTTTTGTCCGGAAATCTTCTGAATTCATATGCTATCTGTATATGCTATATAAAGGGAGTTATAAGGGGCCTGGATCCTATGAGATTCAGTTAGTGTCTGGGAATTCTGAAATGAGCTCAATATGAAATCTGATATCTGTTCTGTTCCGGATCCGAGGAAACAATCTGTTTAGGTGCTATATGCACTATATATGTATTCTGGTGCTATAAGCACATCTGATCTGATCTGTTTTGGTGCCGTGAGCACAAAGGGAGGCATAAGTGGCCTGGATCCTATGAGATTCAGTCAGTGTCAGGGAATTTAGCTATTAATTAAATATCTGATATCTGCTACATGATTCTGATATGATTTGTTCTGTTCCGATATGATCTGTACGATTCTGATTCTGTTGATCTGATATGTCTGATCTGTTATGTTTCTGATTTGATACAACTTCCATTTCCGTACAGTTTTGTTGATTTGATATCTGTCCGAATCTGTTTCGATTCTGTACGGATTTGTCTGCTGTGTTGGTTTTGAGATTCTGAGGATTTTGATTGGAGGTTTGTTGCTTTACTGAGCTGTTGAGCTCACCCTTGCTTTCTGGTGGTTTTCAGGTTCGGGGAAAGGCAAGGAAGTCCAGGATTAGTTCAGAGTCTGATCAGTATAGGTACTTTTGTACTTTTGATTTTGTACAGTCATGGCTTTTCTGTTCTGTCTTTCTTTCTGTCGAAAGCCATGTACTGTTCTGTAGATGATTGTTTTGAGGAAATGAAATCGGATAGATGTTTTGTTCCGCTGCATTTGATGATACATAGTAGCTCTGTGTTTGTTAGTCTGTGTGAATTAATTATTTGGAAGATTCAGTTCCGAACCAAATTCCAAAGCTAGATCCTGGTTAGTGCAGCTCCGTCGCGATCCAGCACGGGCGGGATCCGTCTCGTCTCGGGTCGGGTCGTGACAAGCTTTTTTGGTATCAGAGCAATGGTTTTGGAATTTGAGAATTTTGTGAAACAGAGCTATAGGAAGTGATCAGTAAGTCTGTCTGGGGGGTAATTTTGATTTGTTTGGCTTTTTATTTTTGTTGTTTTTGTGATAGTTTTTCCGGATTTTCTGGATTTTTCTGTATGGATCAGCCAGACCCAGACATGACAGATGGTCAGAGTGCCGATCAGGCAGCACCAGTGGGGAGTACAGCCCCAGTGGTCGGTGCTGATACGCTTTCTCAGTTTGCTTCGCTGGTTGCTCAGATGATGAGCGAGACTCAGAGTAGAGCTTCTACTGTCAGATCTGATGACCTGGATAGACATTTGCAGTTGTTTTTGAGGTTGAAACCTCCGAGGTTTGAGGGCGCTGTTGAGCCCAGAGCTGCTGAAGAGTGGCTGAGGAGAGTGGAGAAGACCTTTGACGGGATGCAGTGTCCGTCAGACAGGAAGGTACCGTTAGCAGTTTTTCTGTTAGACGGAGAGGCTGAGCACTGGTGGGACGGCCAGCAGGCAGCCAGATTTCAGGGCAGACTGAACTCTTTGATTACTTGGGAAGAGTTCACTGAGGTATTCCGAGATTGGTTTGTTCCCCCTTCTGCACGACAGCAGATGCAGGAGAACTTTCTGAGGCTTGTTCAGGGGAGCAAGACGGTGATGCAGTACGAGGCTGAGTTTACTGCATTAGCCAGGTACGCTCCGCAGCTGGTTAGCACTTCTGCTGAGAGATGTTACAGATTTCTGAGGGGATTGCGAATCTCTATATAAACTCCTTATTAATTTCATAATTAATATTCACTTTCATGACTTAATCATATGCTCAATATGCATTAATTATATATTAATAAATCAATTATGAATTTATATGTTTTATAAGAAAAAGAAAACTCAATTTATGAATAAATCAATGTGGGAGCCACCTGATTAGCCATCCATATAATGTTGGTTTAATGATAGCCATTGGATAATCTTATCATACATCTATGGTTTAAAGTGGCTCAAGACTATAGGATTTAATCTGAGCTATTGATAGAAATAAAAGGCTCTGATTACGTTTTCAACCTCCTTCACGTCTTCATACACGTGAAACTTTTCCAGCATGATCCGAGAGATTTCACTAGTGAAACCCCACCAAATCTTGCAAAGTCCATCAAGATGAAGGAAACCTATAATCCAATGATGGAAATTTGTTGGCATGATGGTTTCACACTTGACCATACTACCTAGGGAATTCAAGTTTTGGTTTATACCACAAGAAAACTCTAACTAGTAAGATTTTGCATCAAGAAGCTTGAAATGATGTCTAGGAACACTTTTTCTTCAAGCGTCATGGCCGTAGGAGCATCAAAAGTATGATTCGAGTGGAGGGCAAAGAACATTTGTCAGAGTTTGCTCGAACATACTCTCAAAAGGATTAGGAAGCTGGGGGAAGGGACAAAAATGCTTGGAAAGCTCTAGAGATGAATATTGATACTTAAATTCAAATGAGGCTGATTTAATTGAGACACCCTATTCAAGTCATGGTCGCATCTTTAGATGGTCAATATTGATCAAATGAGCCAACAGATGCTTGCCAAATAGAAGGGGACAGCCTAGGGAAGCTTTCTGAGTTTGAAGGAGGTAAACTCATGCCATGGGGAAGACTATGTCTTAAGATCATAATGTGAACTCAATTGGGCATGATAAGGCCCAATTGATCAAAGTGGCTCGGGTTGACCCATGCATGGATAGTTCCAAGTCAAGTTGGGTGTAACCCAGATTAAGCTAGGTGCTGGGTTTGATATGGAAGATGCATTGGATCAAGGGACACCTAATGCAATAGGCAATAGGAGTTGATCTAACCAGTGCTAAAAATTGGCTAAAGTCAAAGTGATTTTGACCACTTCAAACTAGCATAAGCCTTGAACCAAATCAAACCAAGGGCTGAGATGACTAGGGTAGATGCAATGGACCTATAACCACCCAATGCAAGTTTTAGCTTTGCTTGATGGAGCCTTGGTTGGGAGTGGGATCAGTTGAAGTTGGTTATGACTACTTTGGGTTAGCCAAATTCCTAGACTAGGTTAACCAAGGGCTAGGCCAGCTAGGGTAGGTGTGTTTGGTCATGGGGAACCCAATGCAAGTGGTTTTGTTTGTCAGAGGTGACCTTGATTGAGTTTTGGCTCCTAAAGAACCTTCTTTGGACACTTGGGTGAAGCCTTATGGCTACCCGAAATGGGCCAAAGGCTTGGGCCTTGAAGGAGACTCTCTTAGGGACCTGGTAGATCACCCTAAGGGTTTGGATTGGCTTAGAAAAGCATTGGTCAAAGGATTTGAGCTAGAATCAAGTGTTTGTGTATTTGGTTAAACCTGATTGACTTGGTCAACCAAGTTGACCAAGGGTTAATAGTTGGGTCCATTGAGTTTGGATTAATAGTATGAACTCATTGGGAGTGGTCTCAAGTGATGGGAAGGTTGCGAGTTAGATTTCAAGATTAAGTTTTATATAACATGTTTTTTGATGATACCAAAATATTATTGTTATGATTTATCCTATCATACTTGGATATATTTTCTTTTTGATATTTGTGTGTACTAACATTTCAGAGAAATTATATTCCAAACAGTTGAAGATTTCAAGAAATAGTAGATTAGGATTTCATGTAATGAATTCTATAAATTTAATATTTTTTAGAGTATGATAGAGTGTGAATCTAATTGGGTAATCATGCACACACATATTGGGAGAGTTAGTCAAAACTTAAAATTTTAAAACTAATCGTACTGTATGATTTTAAATCATACTATATGCTTTGTTATGGTAGTTTCATTAAAATGAAGATAAGTGAACGAGGTGGATGGAATTATAAATGGATTCTTGTATCAAAGGAAAGGGGGATATGACGAAATTGATAGATCAAACAATTCACCTACCAAATTTTGATATGCAATTTAACATTTGAATGAAGCTGATAGTATATGGCATACCAACAATTGCAGTTCAATTGGAAATGATGTTATTACAATGATTATTTTGATAATTTTAATTTTTGAAATTATCTTAATGTTTTTTGCATGCCCGATAATTACTAAGCCTTCGTCTGGGATAACTTTCTTACTGTCTTCTTACTATTTTTTAGTATAAAAAATTCTAAAGTACAAAATAGGTGCATTTCATACTGTATGATCATGGTTCATATATATGACTTTTAGAGTACAAAATAGATGCATACCAGTTCATCCCACATGATCTCATCAATTTTAGAGCTGTTTTTATTGTACGAAGTGGAGTTTATATATATGACTTCTAGAGTACAAAATGGGTTCATCCATGTTCGTACCAAATAAAGCATGATTTGTTTAAACTGTGTAAAACCCTTCAAAAGCTATTTTTTTAAGTGATTTTAGTCCCGAACGAATTGGCCTTAGTCCCGGACGAACTGAAGAAAATTGTGAAGAATCTGTCAATTTTGTCTGTACGAACCGGGAAGGGTCGGGACGAACTGAACCCGAGAGTTTCGTCCAGGGACGAAATAAAATTGAATTAATTTCTTCTGGATGATTTGAGTCCAGAGAAGATCGTCCCAGGACGATCGGGACATCGTCTGGGACGATCCTGCTTAATAAATATCTGAATAGTGCCGATTTTGAAGAGAGAGAAAGCCCAGGAGAGAGAAAAACGAAGGGAAAAGAAGAAAAGTGGATTTTTGGGAGACTTCCGTCCGTTTTTGTCCGTCGCCATAGTTGAAAAAGTTGATCAACTCGAGGTAAGACACATTCCGCCTTTCTCAATTTTCAGAAACGAGAATTTTGACGACTTTTCTGTTCAGGATTTTGTTTCCGTTAGCAAATTTCTAGTATTATTTTCTTCTAACAAAGGTTTTACCGCGTAACTTTTGGTATGTTGTTGAGATGATAATTGTGCACATTTTGAGTATATTCTGGAAGATTTTTACCGGGTATTTCGAATTCTGCTGAGTTTTATTCGAATAACAATTTATTTGGATGTATGATATTATTACTTCAGTACAGTAAAAGTCTTATAATGTTGTTGTGGATATTCTGTGATAATTTGATAAATTTTTGAATATGTGAATTTTGTATAAATTCTGTATACTGCCGTTATGCCACTGATTTTTCGTACGAATTCTAATTTTTCTGAATTGATACATTGAATGAATTGAAGTGTTTGTAAGCTATCAGAAGGGAGTTATAAGGGGTTAGGATCCTTTGAGATTCTGTAAGTGTTAGTGAAATCTGAAATGAATTCTGAAATCTGAAAATAAGTTATGTTCCGAAGTTTCGAATATCTGTTCTGTTCTGTTCTGGTGCTATAAGCACAAAGGGAGGCATAAGGGGCTAGAATCTGTTGAGATTCTGTCAGTGTATGGGAAGGGGGGCATAAGGGGCCAGAATCCGTTGAGATTCTTTCAGGGTCAGGGAATATAATGTTTGATATGTAATAATCTGTTCTATGACTTATCTGGTCTGTTTTATGAATTATCTGATATCTGATTTCTGATTTCTGTACGGTTCTGTCTGCTTTGTGACTTGAAAGCTTTTTGATATCTGTTCTGAACTCTGATTTGAAATGACTTCAGTTTTTTTGTATCCGTAAGCTAATTTCTGATTGATCAAGTATCTGTTATATCTGTTCTACGATTTTCGTATGGCTATTTTCTGATGTGAATTTCTAATAATTTTGATTGGTGAGTGATGTCTTACTGAGCTATTAGCTCATTCTTGTTTCCTGCGTGGTTTTCAAGTTCTGGGAAAGTGAATGAGGTCTTGGACTAGAAGTTCTGTGTCTGATCTGATATTAGGTATTTTATACTTTTGATTTTTGTACAATCATGACTTTTCTGTTTTGTTCTATTATTTCTGTCTGAAGCCGTGGATTGTATTGTAGATGATTATTTTGAAAAGATAGATGATCTGTTCTATATTTGGATGTTTATAGTAGCTATGTGTTTTTCTGTCTATTTAATATTTGGAAGAAAGTCTAAAGCAAATTCCAAAACTAGATCCTAGATTTCCAAGTTTAAGTTCCGTCGCGGCCTGATGCGAGCGGGATCCGTCCCGGTCGGGTTGGGTCGTGACAAACTGTTCATGTCGTATGAAGTGGGGTTTGTATAGATAATTCATAATGTATGAAATAAGGTTCATACAGGAGCATATCAGATGAATTGGTTTAGTTTTGAACTGTTAATACAATATTTTATAAGTTCGTATAGATGACTAATAAAGTATGAAATCAGGTTCTTACAATATCAAACAGGGCTTTTCAAAATGTTAGTACATATAAAATGCGATTATACTGTAAAATTAGAGTATATTCAAGTTGAAAATTTTAATTTTCTAGATGGTTTTTTTTAATCTTTCATATATAAGTGTCCTAAAAAACTTACACTCATGATCTTGCTATGAATTTCTCTTAAGAGTGGATAAGGAGAGTGTTTGGGAGAGTGATTTAGGAGTGAATATTAAGAGATCTTATGAGAGAAAATTGTGAGGGGATTTACAAGGTTGCCCAAATCTAAGGATCACTTATATTTTCTTCAAAATACTTCCCTACTTTCTTGAAGTCTCTTGAATAAAGATTTTTAAAGAAGATTACGATACTCTGTCATCACCAGGAGAGTGAGAAAGGATGTTGGTATTCTAACATCATTAGGAGGGTGAGAAAAGATGTTGGTACTCTACTGTCACTTGAAGAGTGAGAAAAGATGTTGGTACTATGTCATCACTTGGAAGGTGATAAAGGATGTTGGTACTCTGCCATCACCAGG